GCATAATGAAAATAAAATAAAGTAGTCAAGTTGTAGAACTTTTATAAGTATATTATTAAAAAAAAAGTAAACAGAATATATAATATAATTTATTTGTGAAAATAGGAAGCGGTAAATACTATTTAAATTTTACAAAAGAAATCTGAATACCGCAAGATCTTATTCTGAACATAAGATAAATATCCTAGAGTCTCAAAATGTATTTAATTTTTTTTTAAATTCCCAAAAATTTCAAGAAATTAAAGCACTTCTAGCTAATTTGTTGCCAGGCTGGAAATGTAAAATGATATTGATTATACAATTAAATAAACAAAAAATATTTATTTAAAAGAAAATAATTTAACATTTTTGAATTTTTTCATTAAGTTTTTTGATTCAAATTGACTTTTTATTATTGTATTTAAGTATTAAAATTAAAAGATATTCAAACTTCTTTTTAACTCAAACTAGGTCACAGATGTTTTCTAACTAAGAAAAAACTGAATTGGGAGAAAATAGTTTTCCCAGATTGGCCTTTTGCTGATCAATTAAAACTTGATATCTTGGTTTGGCCAAATGAGCTTTAGCTTTCACTTGTAATTACAAATTAATTTATACCACTTTAAGTAAGAGAACATTCGGCGCAGTTAATTCAGTGAAATTAGCCTCATCTACATTCAGCAGCAGACTTGCCCGAGCAAGAATTAGTTTTTGCTGGCCAAGCGCGCTGGGCTTATGACAAATGAGCAGTGCGGTGCGGAGGAGCGAAGACAAATTTGGCAAAAACATCCGCACCCTCGCTGGCGCTTTGTCGAACCCCGTGCGAGCAAGGGTGAGTGCAGCTAGGCAGGCAGCGAAAATCCACGTTGACCCAGAATCTGCTCGCACGCGCTGCAGCCGGCGCAACAAACGCCGCGAGACTTTTTAATCTCAAGACCGCTCAAAGAGAAGAAACTCTCCACCGCCTGTAAATTAAGAGATTATGATTTTTTTCTCAAAGCTAATTTCACTTCAAAGAAAGAACAAATAAAGAAATTCTCTCTCAACGAGTACGAGCGTCGCCCTAATATGAGAAAAAAACCTTTTTCCGCGCCCTTCGAAGATAACATACACACTTTCTTTTTTATTTCTTCCCATCTGACAGCTCTGGAAAGTTTTGGCCGGAAAGAAAGCCCTTATATTTACTCCGATCGTCAGGGACCTCCAAACCCGCTCGCTCCATTTGCGACGTCGAGATAAATGGCGTCCGCGGGTTTTGATGTGGTAACCGGACCAGCATTCCATTTGTTTGCTCGCCAAATCTTTCCACAAGGGAGCGCCCAGCAGCTTTGATTCGAAATTTGGTCCCACAGCTCATTCTGGAAATTTCTTCCATTCGTCATCAGCGCTCATATTGAAATAAATATCAACTGATATGAAATAGGATATTCCAAAATAATGTGTCAGAAACCTTTGCAAGGCTGAATAATTTATGTTATAGAGTGTCTATGGAGGTAACCAAAATGATGAAATAATAAAAAGTTAATTAACTTGTATTCATTATACATTATTCGCCATTCAGACACGCCGTTTTGATTTTCTTAATCTTAGCTTATTTTATCATTTGATGAATTTTAAAAATATAATAAATTCAGCATTAAAACTAAAGATATTGAAAATATAGATTGAGAATAAAAAAAATTATTTAAATAATATTCTAAGAAATTATCTCAATTTTTTTAAATGCTTCACTTCATAAAGTAACATGAATCCCTTTCGTATAACTCTTCGAAACAATTGGTTATGTAACTGATTTAATAACAGTTAGATTTAATAGAGAACAATAAATAATAAAGATGATTAATTTTCTTGGTGCGACTGACACTTGGGCGGAAGTAATAGCGATAGTCGATCGAATAGGGAGTAGATTCGCGTGGCGTGTGTGTCTGCTCGACAGGTGAACTGCTGAATGATTCAGTTCGTCTGCCAAGCGGAAAGAGAGCAAATCCCCCGAGCTCTCTCTCGGGCTCGCTAGGCCAAATAACAAGCGTGTTTCGTCGGTCCTCGCGAATCTAATTGTAAGGTCAAAGATCACGTTTGCGAGCAGATCGGGCGCGTGGGTGTCGGATGGATCTTGGGCGGCCCGCCGAGATCTCATCGGAATTATTCTGCGAGTCGGCTAATCTTGTTACGACGGAGGAACAGTAGTGCTCCCCGACCCTGTTTGCTCCGGCATCGTAAAACAGAACGACACGCCGAGTTTCTATCTGTTGGGGAAGGATAATATGGTTTTTGGCAGATTCAATTTTCTTTGTAACGAGCTTTGCGCTAAGCAACACTGCGGAATAACGTTTTTAATAGTTTTATTTTTATTTTGATATACAATACATTTCAGAGTAAGCTAGAAAAAGAGTTATTTAAATTATAAAAAGGAAAAGGAAATGACATTTTTTATGAAATAAGCAATAATCCAAATTATAGAAGAAAATAATTTTTGTTCTTAATCAACTTAGTACATATAACAATTTTTAACATTTCATAAATTTTCTTCAATAATTAGTTTGTATGGAGTGGCTTTAAATGTTTCGTTTTTTTTAAGTGTTATTAATTTTAATATTTTTTCTATCTTCACTCAATTTATGCATAAAGTAATGGCACAGAGAAGATTAATGTGACTAGGCCAATTTTAGCTGAAAAAGCTCTTGAGGCAAATTTAAAAATAAAAAATATTAATTTTTTAATGTAACATTGACAACAAATTTATTATCCAATGATAGAATTTAACTCTTTATGGTAAAATAAAACATTGCTCAATTTCGGTGTCACTTTTTTAGTTGAGCTATAAATAGTTAATGTACCTGTTTTGTGCCAAACAATTTTTTGTTCACATTCTTTGAGCCGTGCTAGGCGAAAGACAATGGAGAAGACTTGATTCGAAAGCTGTGAAATTCCCTAGAAAAACGAAAGACGCGTGGGGCTTCTTGGAAGAGTGGGTGGCGCTTTATATCTTGCGTACGCAGCGTTGTTGTTTTCTTCCTGCCGGACGCGTTGCTGGACCGGGCCTGTTTTCCTCTCTCAGATACAAACACACGAAATAGGGCCATTCAGCAGCCAAGTTGGGCAGGCCCTTTGTGAGAGTCCAAAAATAGCGACATGACTATGGCCCGCGGACGGACTGGCCGTGGCGAAACGAGTCTCGCCGCTTGATAGATCGGTCGGTCCCTCTTTCTCTCCGGCGACGTAACTCGCGGAGAGCTCAGGTAATTAACGATCGAGAGCGATTGATTTTTTTCCTCCTGCGTCAAATCCACCAACAAACTCGAGCATTTTTTTCATGTTGTGCACCGCGGGTCAGACGTGCCGCTTTAATTGATCGATAATTGATGGCAGCTCCGCGCTTGCTTTCAAACTTTGATTGACGACACACAATCTCAAAGTTTTGATTAAGAAACTGTGCTACTTATTATATGCTGCGGCTTAATTGCGCTTGCAAAAGTTGAAAGGGTTTTTGTAGCTCCCAAGATGAATAAAATGGTATAGCTGCCGATATTGGTAAGCGATTTTTCTTACCACCCTAAAAAGTGCCGGTAAAAAAGTTTTGGCGAAAAACTAGACGTAAGTCATGTTTTTTATCAAATAGGAATTTTTCTTCGATGAGCTATTTAATGAACTGGGGATAACGACCAGTCGTTATGATTATTTACTGCTTTGTTCGCCATTCAGGTCTATCGTTTGGTTTTACGGCATTCCAAAGCGACTGTTCCATTCATCCCGAGCGGACACGACACCCACGCCAAGTGTCACAAACAGAGCTATTTTTCGCGTGGCTGCCTACGCGCCTTGTCATCCGCGATCAACCTAACTGACAAGGCCGCCCGGAGCAAGTTTTTTTGTTATGAAGTTGCGGCTGATAATTTTTATCACCAAAATGCAGAGATTTTCCTCCTGGAATTTACATATTTTTTTAAAAATAATTTTCAATGGAAATTTTGCTAACAATTTCCTGACAAACAAAATTTTTTATTCAAATTTAAATTTTTTCTGTATCATCTGACAAGTATAAATAATAATAAATAAGTCCCAATTAATTGAGGTTTCTTGTAACATTGTCACAAATTTTTTGTTCTCTTATCACGCATTAATGTTGCTACTAAATGCAGAAAATTTAACTTTATTTTCTTTTCCTTATTGTCTGGTAGTTTCAATACATGTTGGCAATGATAATAAATAATTCACATTTTAATTTTCTGGTTGATACATTGATGAAAAGATGAATTTTCTTATTCATTAGTTTCAGGGTACCTTAAACTAATCACACATTTAAAAATTGAGAGTCAATGTGTTAAAAAAATAACATCTCTGGTTTTATAAATCAGATATGAAATTTGGTATTCCGCTTATATAAATAGGAGCCGTGAAAAAATGCAAAATTTGCAGAGCTATTAAGTTTTTCAACCAGCACAAAGGTATCAAATATGAACTATTCAAAAGGTCCAAAAACTATTATTTCCAGAGACGACGGCAGTTTCTAGGGTTTTCTGATCTGATCGTGAGATGAGATTGTTTTCGCCTTTCCTTTTTAAGTAAGATAACATCAAAAATGGAAAACAACTCATTTATAGCTCGAAGCTATTTTGGTCTTGATTGCCTGAGCGATTACTTGATCAGATTATTTTTAGCCCTTTTTTTAGAACATTTGTGTTCTTTCTTGGTCAACATCAACATAACCAACCCCAATCAAAATCGATTTTGAGCAACAAAACTTATTTTTGGAGAAGCAGAAAGCGTCTGAATTATGCAAAACTTAAAGAAATTTCGCGGAAGGACCCTGTCATGTAAAAAAAATTTAAAACTCATCAGCGAAACTGTTGTTTGTGGCAGAAGTAAGGGTGTCCCAAAATCAGATGGCGTTTTTTTTTAAGTAGACGTGGAACCACCGAGAAGTAGAGTCGTTTTCTTCCTAAAAAAATCCTCTCTGTGCCGAATTATCGGCACGCATGACATGGAAATATTGTGTTTTTAATGGGTGGTGTGTGTTACAGGAATAGAGAGAAGAAGAGGCGCATTATCTGGTCCGGTCGACCGCTCTCTCGGCGGGGGAGTTGCCATGCGGCCCAACGTGCGGAGCAAAGGGCGCGTCCTAAACTGCTAGGACCCACGAACTCGACTCGCGCCGCACAAGAAGCAAAGCAGACACCCTGCAGTCTCCCAGAGCTACGCACGGCCGCGCCATTGCGAGGAAAGTGAGTGCAAAAATTTCTTGCTCGAGCCGAGTGAACAAACAGCCTTTCCAACTTCTTCTATTTACCCTTCGCAGAACTACTTTTGCTAGAAAAATATATATAGAACGCACACTTGCAAATGCTCTCTGCTCAATTTGCATTTGCATCTCTGCCAGAACGAGGAAGTCAAATTAAATAATGCACATAATTTTTTTCCTCAATCATATTTTTAATTTTTGGTAAACTGAATTGGTGTAAATTTAAAGAAATTTAATTTTTTGTAAATTACACATTAATTTGTACATAAATAAAAAATTTTAATCATTTTTTGCCCCACTTTATTACTGGAAACAAAAAAGATTAATTAATGATTAATTTTTTTTCTAAAAATGTAGAGAAATTTGTCAGCAATTCCAAAAGTGTTCAATACATTCTTTAAATTAGGAAATAAACAAATAAATTATTTCTCGCTCAGAAAAAAAATGTTTTAGATATTTACTAGTTGATTTTTTAATATGCACATTTTTTCATTTTTCCTCTTGATCTTTTACATTAAAATATCACTTTAACAATATTTCCTCTTTTTCCCAATATTTTTTTATATTTTTAATATATCTGTCCAGTTTTTCTATTAAAAACTTCGTTCTGGCATTTCCCAATGCATTTCGCTGAAACTGGCTGCAAGTGAAAAAGAGTTGGAAAATGCATTTTGACATACAAGTTTGCGTTATGAGCTGCTTTCCTCACATCAACACTTCTTTTCCATTCCATTACCATGGCATTCGCCACACCACCAGTTTCCTCTCTATCTCGCAATCATACAGCAACAAACTGACATTTTCCCACCGACCTTTGGTAAAAAATATTCTGCTCATCTATGCTCGTTTCTTTTTACTGGGCACTTATTTTCCCGCTTTTCCATCAGACAGTAACTTCCCCCACACATTACCCGTCACGGAAAAATACTCATTCTGTTGCCAGACAAATTATTTCACATCACACATGGCTTTTCTGCAGACACGCAAATTTTCCTGTAGTTCATAACACACCCCACACGGTCTGCTGGTCTTTCGTTTTTTGTTTTCACATAACCAGCTTGCGTGGTAGATTGTGATTTTCGTTCTGGTGGTAGAGTTGAATCTCATCACACACTCACCTCAATTCTTTCCACACACCTTTTTACTTTGTGCTGCCGGTTTGACATTTCTTTTCTTATTTTCGTCGCACCTCTTCCCTTAAATCGACCTCCCGGGTGATGGTGAAATTTTAAAATGTTCATTTTTCATAAATTTAAAATTAGCCTTATTTATAGCATCTAAATAAACAAAAAGTGTCGTTAAAGGCGCATCATCAAACATTTGTTTATTTGAAACAAGCTCGTTAAAAATCAGGAAAGGGATCAAACGACGTGTGGATAAATAATCCGGCTCTTCCTTCCTCACGTACCGCGAATGCAACTTCTTCTGATGATGATGCGCCTCTCGTAAAAACCCTCTTCTTCTTCCAGCTTGAAAAATGACCCCCTCCCCGCGATTTTCGCAAGATTTTTTTTTATGATGTTGGCGTTTTATTACACAGACTCTCTTTTTACACGCCACAATACACGCGTCAGTGGGCTTTTCGCCTCGGGCAGGGCATTCAATCAAGACTGCTGCCGGCGCTCTTGGTCGCGCGCGCTCTGCGTAATTAATCATTTACCATCACTCTGGCGTGTTGATTAAAATAAAAACGCATGCAGCCTTGTTGCTGGAGGAGGCGAACCGAGGAGGAAGAATATTTTTGGCTTAAAATGAGGAAAATTATTAGCCAATTTTAAAACTTATTTTTATCATTCTCACAAATTTAAAACCCCAAATGATTCAATTCAAAATTATTTTTTTATTTTAAATCAAATTAAAAATAAAATCTTCATAATTTTTATATGTTGAGGAAATGTAATACATGCAGAGGTCAGCTGAGATAAGCATTATAGCGTTTTCCTTTAAACATGATTTCTCGTTTAAATGTGTTTTTTAGTTTTTTTTTTCAGATGCGTGTTGCCCTTGGTTATTACTATTTTCACAAAGCATATATTTTGTAGTTTAGACTATTATCTGCGCATCAGGCATATAAATTATCTAAATTTTCAGGGCTGTAATTTAAAGGAAAAAATTTGCATTTTATAACTCCCAGCCTTCACGAATTTCTTGAATTAGGATGATCCAGATAATAGTCAAATTAGATCATTTGCTTTCTAAAAATGTGGCTAAGGTCAACACGGCCCAGTTCAAAAGTTGCAAAAGTTCAAACATTGACAAAATAAAAGTAATTTTAAAGGTTAGATGGCTCAAGCATTCGGCATATCTAACATCTCGGTTGAAGATAAATCTGTAATTTAAGCAATGCAACATTTCGTCATTCAATGGCAGCGAGTCGCAATTTCCCCTCCAGTGCTCCTCCAGCTGCAAACGCCTTAACGAACAAGATTGAAAAGCTAACCACATCCTCCCTGTGCGATCAATCCGTCCATCCAAACATACCCCTTCGTCCCCGGTGCGTTTCTCGATTTTCATTTCGCCCCAGCAGCATCTTTCTCTCTCTTTTCCTTCAAATCGCGTTAAGTAAATGTAAAAGGCTGCGCGAAGTGAGCGAGCGAGCGAACAAGTAGTCCCCCTTGGTTTGTTTATTTTCTTGCTAAATGAGTAGTAGACAGAAAAGTGAGCCAAGCAAACAAGGTGTGTGTACGTGATTCTTGCAGCAGCGTGCTCGATTAAAGGGCATAGAGAGTGACTGTAAGTGCGGTCGGCGGTCCTGCGTGCTCCACAGGCGCTCCGACCTCATACTGCAGCTCCTGCTCTCTGGTGGCCAGTACCGCAACACCCTAGGTACTCTTTCAACTTCAGCTGCTCGCATGCAGATCTTTCCCTAACCAACCTCGGTGTACATTCTATGTGACCAACCCTCAGAAAATAGGAGGTGAAATGACTTGGAATGAGAGAGAAAATTATTTGATCAAATCTCAAATCACATCCGGCAATTAAATTTTTCTCACTTTAGTCTGGTGCAAAAATTCCTCACTCCGGCCATTTCTTAAAAGTCTAGCTGTTCCTCTCAGTCGTGTGTTTTTTTCTCTAAAAAAATCCCCAACATTTTCAGCGATTTTTTTTGTGTTACCCCATTTAATCACCGTTTGAGATGTTTTCCAACTCACAGTCTTTCAGTGCCGTTGTGAAACTTCCGTGAAAGAGTCGTCGTTCTTTTCTTTTCTTTTTCGACATCCTTCTTCATTGTACTTTTTTCACTCTCAATGTGTTCTGCACGCTCGCATGCTCTCCTATTCTTCTCACGCTGTGTACTTTTTCCTCCTGTGCTGTGAAAATTTGATGGTACTCTCGGTGTGTTGATAATGTGACTTGTGCACGACGTCCTCTTAGAGAATGTTTTTTTACCTTCTGAAATTAAAAAAAAAATCGAAGTAATTTTATGTGCGCGAATTAGGGATTTTTTCATAATTTTACGCCTTGAGGTAGAAAAATTGATGGATTTAAAACCAAATTTACCTCGGCGCATCAAGCCGAGTGGTCAAAATGCATTATTTATTTCCATGATTGGAGAGCCCCGCTTTTAGCCGCTCCATCACCCGTTGCAAAATTTATGTGAGCTTCGTTGCCATGGATTCGCATCACGCTTTTCCGCTCGCAAAACCCGGCTGAGCAATTATTAAAACAATCGTCTTGATAAAGTGCTTTTATGTCCCTCCTTGTGAATGACTGGCACGTTGCCAAGTCGTATTTTTCCAACGAAAAATGCACGAAATTCACGCTCCGACGACGAGTTATTTCTTATCCGTGTGAGCAGGAGAAATTCACAAAAGTACTGCTGACGCCTGTCAAATTCAGAACTCTGCAACTGGCTCAACCTTAGGTCGTCGCGGGTTGCATAATACTAAAACATTAATTTTAATCATTTTTCAATTAATTAAATTAAAAAAAAAACTTGTGCAATCAAAATCTTTTTAGCAACAACATTCTAAATGAAATTAAAAGTCAATTCTTCAATTCAAGTAAATACATCATTTTAAATTAAAAATTATTATACTAAATTTTTTCATTCAAATATGACTTAATATTGATTCTAATTAAAGCCAGCCAGACTTTGATTCCTCCGTGTCGCACAGGATAACCTTTCAGTGTCAAATGGCATCGTCAACATAATGTCAGCCGTGCTCTCACATGTGTAGGTCCTCGACCGCGTGATGTTGATGCGTGCAAATGCATGTCCTTTAATTACCATTATCATTTGACACGTCGTTGGACGCTCGGTTGTGTAAATAATAGCATCCGACGACGAGCAGGTAGAGGCGAAGTAATGATTTAGATCGGCGCCCAACAAGTGGCTGCCGTCCGGTATCCAGGCAACCAGCCGGTGCCGCCGGAAAGAGCCCTGCGCGCTAATATTTAATGCGCAGTACTCGCAGCGAAATTCGCATGTTCCTTTTGTTTGCAGTGCATTACCGGCACCAAATGGAATGGCGCCGGCACAATGTCGAGCCAAAAGTGGTTCAATTAGAGACGGCGGGCGCGCTTAATAGTGTTTGATTTGCCCTTTTGTCAGGAATTGTGACGTGCTACGATTAATCCAGCACAAATGATTGAAGAAAAACACAAGAAATTAATATAATTATGCCTCATGAGTTTTTAATTTCAGAGAATTTTTTAAATAATTTTAAGCAGCTCAGTATTAATTCCATTTTATTACGGTTGAAATTTTTTTTTTACAGCGTGGTTGCCAAATTCGATATATCCGTCCTTTATTGTGCCCTCGGTGAATCCGTGTGGAAAGCAATGCGGGTTTCACAGTTTCCAGACTCGTGGATTGCGACTTGATATCTTGACGGGACTGAAAATAAACGGTTTCAAAGGCAGGCGGATCGGGCCCGCTTCACTGAGTCGCGTTAAATACGAGCGAGCGAACGTTCTCTTTCATGAAAAAAATTTTTCTGGAACGCCTCTTGTGTCTCTCGTCATTTCAATTATTATTGAATTAACTCGGTGCTCGTTCAGAAGAAAAGAGAACACACAATTAAGCTTAATTAGGTGCGGAGCTAATTAAGCGCGCTTTACTTCTCAGCCGAGAGCACAGAAAAGTGCATGAAGCACCAGAGAAGGCTCCCAGAGGAGAACTTTTTGTTTCGTATTGATTTTGTATCAGGGTCAGTGAGTTAATAGCGTCATCATTCCGTCTCAGGGAATCTCTTTCTGCGGGCCGGCGGTAAACAAAAAACACTTTGGAAAAATTCCAACTCTCGAGAAATTCGCTTTGAATTTTAAATGCGCCGCAGAAAATCAAACAAAAAGTTCCGCAGCCTGTTCAGCCGCATTAGTTTATCTAGATGCGCCGTCTCCAAAGTGAGATTAGTTGACAGCCTTATCTAATAATGTTTTTCTGAACAAACCTGTCTGGAGAGCGGCTTTTGTATGGCATTATCGACATTATTATATCTGACATTTAGATCTCAATGAATCTGACATTTTAATAAAAATAAATGTCAATAAATTAACTTTACTCTTAAAAAAATGATGTAAAGTCGCTAGTAAAATTGAGCTATTAGAACCCAAGCTTATTTTACATAATATCTTATTGTTAGATAAGTGAATAGATGCAGATCGGCGAATAATAATTTAAAAAATCTTTTTTTCATAGAAATAACAAAAAAATATTGTTTCAGAAAAAGAAAATTAAATTTCTTCTCCCAAATAAGTTGAAAGTGGAAAAGCTCCACGCTAGCTCAGATAAATGAAAACAAAAACCACATTCATCAATCGCCAACAGCAATAACAAGCGTTTTAATCGCGCGCACGACGCGTTATTTAGTAATCACCGGACGGCCTGCAGCCCATAAACATTTTCGCATCCTGACGTTTGCGTGCTCGGCGCAATCAGCGTCCACGGGCGCAGAAATTCTCATCGAGAGACGCGTGCATCCATCACGTTTCGCGCATATTAATCAGCACAGCAAAAAATAATAATGGGTAAAAAAGGAGGCACCGGCGTTTGTTTTTGTTTAGCGGAAGGAAGACACTCGAGAGCGGCGAGTGTACACACGGGGTGGCGCCTGCGAATCCACCCCTCGACGACGAGCACCACCACCACCACCAGGGCGGTGGTGCTGCTTGCTGGCTCGATACGCGCCGATCAATAAAGCGGCGGCGGCGGCGGCTCGGGGAAGCAGCGCCAAAGGGGAGGAAACGGCCAAAAGGTTTCGTCCACGAAACACCTTCGGTCGAGCGACGCCAGTGCTGTGAATCGACAGTCCAGAGGAACAAGTCGCAACCGAGTCTCCGACCGTCCGACTCATGGTCGGCTCATAGATAGTTTCCCGAGGCAAATTATGTGACTGACTTGCTGCGCACGGCTCATCCGTAGTAGACTCCAGCAGATTTATAAGGTGAGTGACCTCTAGAATCTTCTTGTTGCTTTCATATATTTTGGTGTCAAGTGGGAAAATTAATATTTGTGGCAGGTTTTTATAAGTGTTCAAAATATAGAACATTTTCAATTTTTGATAAAAAAATTTTAGATCAATTTAATTAATTATTTTTAATAATACATTTTATTTTTATGGCGGATGGTAATTAATTTTGATTTTTTATGATCGAAAATAAGAAGAAACTGGAAATTTGTTCTTTTTTTTTACTCAAATGAACAAAATTACCAATTTCTTATGCAAACAAGCTCACGAATCTCATCACCATAATTAGAAATACTATCCCTCCTTTATTTTCGTTGTCGGGCTTAACAAGTGTGCTTTTCCCAAGCTGCCCCACCTTTCTTGTTGGACAGCCGCAGTCCGGACCAATTATGATAATCCTCGCATCCCATAAACACCCACCGAAAGCCTCGCAAGTGTCTCTTTTGGCCGATGCGCCCCCTCGTCTGTACGGAATTAATCGCGACTCATAATTTCCCAGAACGAGCGACCTCGTTCCGCGCATAATTAAATTCGCCTCCTATTGGCGTGTGTGTGTGAATCTGGAACACTTGGGTACGTTTCCCGCAGTGCATTCCCCCTCCGCCACCCTGGCACGAGCGTGCCCCCGACGCCATGCGGGAAAGAGAGCGTGGCTCATAATTCCAGCGGCACCCTCGTTTTTTTGCTGACCAGCGAGGGACATTACGATTGATGATGCAATAATCGCCACGGTCCATTGTCAGTCTGGTGCCGCCGAAAATCCGTCTTGATTCTAAATGACGGCGAGGAAATAAATGGGTTTTTTCTTCAGAAATAATATAATGGGGTAGAAAAATTAATGGAAACTGATTATGATTAAAATTAAATTTATCAAATATTTTTAATCCACTATAATTTCATTTTCTTCAAATTTAAAAATTAATTTTCATCGTTGAAAGATGATAGAAATTTCTATTAATAAAAAAATAATTGTTTAAATAATGCTCTCTTGCTGCACTTCTCATTGCATCTTTTGTTCTTTTTATATCAAATTATAAAATAATTACTCCTGTTCAAGTGGCGTAAAAGCTGAAATTGAAAAGAGAAATAAATTGCTCAACTTCCGCCACTGACCTCGTTTCTTTACTTTTTATTCTCTTATAAACTTTCATTTCCTTTCTCGCCGAGCAATAAAATAAAAATACGAGCTCGCATAATATGGTATATCAGGGCCTGGCGATTTCACGGCCAACACTCGAGCTCTCCGCATACTCTCTTATCTTGAAATCTAAAACGCCGACGCCACAAAGAGAATTTTCTGTCATGCAACCCGACTACTTTTTCCTTGGGAAAAACTCGACGCCTCCCTTTGCATTACTTTTTCACTCAATTTCCCAGAGTTCTTTCATTCGACTCGTGATTTTCCACGACGCGCAATTCAATATCAACAAGGCGAACAACAAGCCTCGTCAGCGTCTCTCTGTCTGTCTGCTTTCAATAAGCTCTCATTATTAGTTCCTTTTTCTCTTTGTCCGCCGCTGGCCAAGTTGAGTCTCACGCGAGAATCATCAGGTACAGAAAGAGACAGACGGCCACGTTAATGCACCTTGTCGCTTTTTTCATACGTTCTGCTACATGACTCTGGTTAAAAAGCGCCACACCCGGTTCTATTTTGGTCAATTACTGTGCTCACGCGCTCTTAACACTATTAATTTTTTCCGCTCGTAGTGCTTGTTACCAAAATATTTCAACTTACATTATCTTTTTTTTTTAATTCGTCAACCGCTTAAAAATAAGTGTTCAATTCACTCATTTTTTTTTTTGCTCGGGTCTGAAATTGCTTAACCTTTCTTATGCTTTGAGAAAAGTTGCTGGGTCTTTTGCATGTCAATGACCGAGTTGAAAGATCAAAGGGAGTCTCAAGCGGGACTTGCATTTGAACGGAGGGTTTTAATTAAAAAAGCTTTGATGATTTTAATTGCTTAAAGAGAAAAACTGCTAATATTAAATCAAATGATGAAAATGATCTGATATACATTAATAAAAATTAAATAATTATATTATTTTTTAATTTAAAATATTGCAGTTTGTTATTTTGGAATAATTTTTTACACTCGATACTTGTGGCTTAACGAGACATTGTTAATCTTGTTTGTTTGCTTTTATCGATTATTGTGCACGAGGCGTCTCAACAGTCGCCCAAATGCCAACTAACGACCGTGCAGCATCTGTTGCTCGATGGCGAGTGAATTTATTCCCCATGCCCAAATTACGTTGGGAATAAATTTCAATATTCATCTCGCTCGCCTGTCCCTAGTGGCACGCGATTTACTCTCGAATTATACTTGTTCAGAGTGTTCAAGCTGCGCGATCAATAATTCGACGGAAAAAACAATTTCCAACGCAAATTGAGCGGTTATACTATGTCATTATTCACTTTTGAAAAGTAGGAGAAAACAAATACTACAGATGGCGGCCAAGAAATTAAAATCAATATATTCCAAATTTACCTTGAGACCTTTCTAGACTGAAAATATAAATATTACATTTTAAATTGAATTTTTTATTTATTTATTTTTAAAAACGAAATTTTAAGTAAAAGTTTTACATACAGTAAGAGGCAAAAGCATGTGGTTGAGACCTTCCTCCGTGGGCATTCGAGCGTCAGCAGAATTGCGTTGCAGAACATTCCGCTCACGACGGGATGATCATTAAACCGCTCCAACTTCTCTGCACCCCCGCGAGCGGACGTGCTTTTATTCTCCTTCTGTTCTTTGCTCTCCTCGTCGGCAAAAATTGCGCAGCAAGGTGCTTTCAGAAAAAGGGTTTAGGATTACTCGTTACGGTGAATGACCTCAACTGTGGGCCTGGGTGCGGTCATTTAATCTTGCGGCTACCCAGGCTGAAACTTTAGATGACTGGCCAATTTGTATCAATAGCTAAGGGGTATTTAATGATAAAAACCGTCTTGTTAAAAACACATGCCTAGTTACATGCGCAAGTTTTTTGTTATGTTTGCTCCTAAATAGAAAGCTTTCATTTTACTTGGCAGCTTATAAAAGTTTAATTAATCTTTGAAATATAAAATAACGTAGAAGTAAGTAAATAAAATTAATAAATATTTAAAATAAGCTTAACAAAAATAATTAAATAATAAATAATGCGCCATTTAATCATAAAAAAGAATTGAAAAAGCTCATTACATATATTTTTTTTAGACCTGTTTAATATTTCCATGGAGAACAATGCGCTGCATTAAAATTAGATTAGGGCGCTGCCCTTTAATAAACCCTGACCTTTAAAAATCGCACGTCAATGATTGCTCAATGTTGTCTCACACCACGCAGAGATTTATTTATTTTTCGCTCCAATGTGGTGCCACGGGGAGTCCAGGGCAACATGCTCACGTCCTTTAAAAGCGACCCCACCAGCGCAACTTGGTTGACATCGACTACAGCGAGTGCACTGTTCGTGGCAGCCTCGTGTGTGTTTGCGTACGTGTGCGATTCGAGGCCGAAGGTGCAAAAAAAAAACGGAGCTAGTATACACATTATAGGTCATTCGTCTGCGCAACGCACGTTTTTTACGGGCATAAAGTCTGAATATGTTTACCTGAGTTTTTTCCACCACCGTGCGCAGCCCAAAGGGTCCGATCGATATTAATTTGCGGGCGAGCATCATGCAGCGACCCTGGAGAGTCGGAATTTTCAATAAAGTCACTTTAGCGACTGCATAATAAAAAAAAGCTGAAAGCCTCTCCAATTTGATAAGCAGGTGCATTTGCAAAATGGGTCTACCTCAAATTCCACCTCCAACGAGCCTATGGGGATTTTCATGCGACTCTTTTACCTCAATTTTTAAATATTAAAAAAAGGGTTCTCCATGCTTAAAAAATAACGAATGATTTTTCTTTTTTCTTTCCAATTAACTTCAAACGAGTTTTTGCTTCAGCCCAGCAATTTTACAAAAAAAAATATTGTTTTCATTAATTAAATAATAAAACCTCGCGATAACCACTTTATATTTTTATTTTCTAATTTTGGTATAATAATAAACGTATTTAACGACCAGACAGCTCGAGCCAGGTGCCTGTGAACCCATTCTTTTACGAGTTAAATACGGCCGGTGCAGATAATAAAGAGGATTCTGTTCTTCCCAAGGTCCTCTGTCTGGCAGCGTGCGGGATGAAACGCAATTACGGCGGAGGAGGCGATTCCGAGATACTTGCTAATATATTGTTCTCGCTCGTTAATTGAATCTGATCCAGCTGGCACCGCCACTCGCAGTTGATTTGATGATGATTTGCGAAACCCAATTCTCCCTCCGCCTATCCTCCTTACATGTAGTCAACAAACGCAGGCGTGTCTGGTTGCGAAATTCGGAAATAAGTAGGTTTCTGCTCGGCGGTGCTCGCAAAAGTTTTCGTCGCTTGAAAGTTTTCATTTAAAATTTGCACGCACATTTCCGTAAGAATGAGAGTTTTTATGCCCATGAAACATTCAGCAGCGAAACTTCTGGGCTGCTGGATGGAAATATCGAGCGCATACGTTTGAAATTTATTCCAAAGAAAAAGGTTTCAAGTTGCAAGGAAAGGCCTTGTCTGCTAAAATACGCCGCAGGCAGGTGACGGAAAAGCTCTGATAATACAACGGCAGCTGCTTCGAGTGGCTGCTGGTGAAAATGGGTGCTCTGTCTGTCGAGGAGTTGGTGCTCTCGAGAATGGATCGCCCTCGCTCGAATACGCAAAGCACTGCGAACGATAGCTGCTTTTGACATCAAAGTCAGATTGCCGCCGCGTGTGGCTGCGGGAAATAATGCGAGTCACGATCAAGTTGTTGATACTTGCGACGCCCGACAATGCAAACATTGCGGAAAACCAGTTAATTTATTCTTAAAGTAAACTCTTCTATAATAAAAAAAAACTTGTATAAAAACAATTATATTGGAGTTTTGAATCGTCAGGTTTTATTGAATTATAAGAAATTTTATTATTTAAATCCTGCCACAAATGCAACAATTTTCACTAACATTTGCAATTTTTTAATTGTTACTCTTTATGTAATAATAAATTTCTAATTTTATACCATTTGGATCAGATTTTGTTGTTGGAATTATCAAAAAAAAATTAGGATATGATTTAAAAAAATATATCAAATTATTCTCACGTGACTTTTCGATTTTTCAGAATTCAAAATGCACACCGTCGGGCTGCACTCGGCGCTGGCCATCAAGCGTCAGCGCAAACGGCGCGAGGAGCAGAAGCGGGCGCGCGAGCGTCGCTTCAGTTCGCACTCGGTTGACAGCCATGGCCACTCAGCTTTGTCGCCGCGAAACAGCATCGTCAGCCTGGATGGCGCTGTTCGGCATCGAAACCGGAAGCATCCCACCATGTTGGACACCAAGGTGGTGACCAGCGTTGGAATGATGCACATTGGCGTTGTATTCCTCGTATTCGGCGGCTTCCTGATCGTGTCGGCCCTCTTGCCGGCGACTGACGACGACGCCGGCGTCAACGGTAAACCAATAAGTGTTTGGAACGAGTTGTTGTTCTCTGGCATTTTTTGCCTCGTCGTCGGCATCTTCCTGGTCGTGCTGAACCACTTTGTTTCCAAACAGGCCGACGATGACCTCAACACGTACGTCTCGAACCAACTGAACAGATCAAAGTCTGGCCACCGACTGGTGAGGGACGTTGAGACGGGCCACATGTCAACACCCCGTCGACAACCCAGAGAGGACAGCTCCAGCAGCGGCAGTCTGCACACGAGCCAAGAGGGCAAACGGGAAGATCTAGACAACAATGAGCCAGTTCCGGTGCACCATTCGCACCACCCGCATCTGCACAAGACGTCGCCAATCAGCTCTCCTCCACCTTGCATCAACGGTGAGCCGCCTCTGGAGAAGATCATCGAGGAGGACTGCAGCGAGTACTCGATCGCGTCCAGCCGGCGAGCGCGACGCTTCTTCAGCGAGGAGAAGCAAGGCGAGGAGGAGTCACGGACGGCCATAGATGTCACAACTATTGAGGCTTCGAACGACAACAGCACCACTGGCAGCGTCAGCCCCACGACACCCTCCGAGACCCAAGAGCTGCTCACCAGCCGCTCGATGAAGATGTACCGCATGTGAGGGCTCTGCCTTTTAGGGTTGACTAACTAAAACGCTGAATATGCTCGTGATGGGCTCTGGCCGAACTGACAGACACGTTCTGGAAACGAAACGCTGATATTGGGACAGACACAAGTGTTTTTGCTTCAGGCAAGAAAAGCTTAAGAAACCCAAGAAGATTTTCAATTTTCTACTTTCGCTTGACACTCGCGCTTTGCATGAAATTTAGGTGGAAATTTATTAATATAAAAGACCGTGTTAGACTTTTCCTCTTATTTTTTTTTTATATTTTACACTTATGATCTCAAATTTAAAATTTTCTGCTAAAAATTCAGATGGGAAAATTTTTTAAAGAACCATTATTGTTTCACAGTCAAAATTTCAAATTTCCAAGCAAGAATAATTCAAATAATTCTACTTCTTCAATCTAGATAAAAACCACACTGATTAAAACGACCAATTACATTTTTTATATAAATATTAATAAACTTTAAAAGCTAAAATTTCCTGCTTCAATCGATTATTCTTGGTTGAGACTTGGAAAAATAATAAGAAGTATTGTGGAGTTCTTAAAAGTATTTACCCATTCTACTATTATGCCACTTCCTCCCAAAGCACAAATATACACAATTTTTTAGTTTGAGTTTGGTGTTGATTAATCAAATAATAAAAAGGCAACATTTATCTCTGTGCCAACACCTCTCGCCTTTAAATCACTTTATTTATGTGTTCAACGGATCAAAATTAATTTTTTACGGTCAAGGAAAAAAATTAAATTTTGTTTTCATCCAATCAATGTCTTACTAAATCTGTTCACATTTTTGTGTGATATTGTATGTTAAAATTTAAACATAATAAAAACAATATTAAAACGGAGCATTTGCAAAGCGCATTCACTATTATACCGGTAAATAAATAACAACGCAGTCGTCTCTACTGTATATTTGCTGAAAAAAAATTTAAGTGTAGTTTTTAAGGGAATCCGTACCAAGTGCATTTGTCTGCTAACACATAATATATTATTATCTGTCTCAAGATGAAAAGTGATGGAGAAAACAATTTCTTATATTATCTTCTCAAGTTGTATTAAAAAGACTGATATTTCTATTGACAAAATGTATTTAAAAGTGACGACTTTCCTCACTCACACAACTCTATTGTGAATAATCACAGCGCACCACCAATAATTACTTGATCTCTATCTATTCAAACTCGCATAGCTTTCCAGCAGAAAACTGTTTAAATTCCATAGTACCATATCTTATGCAGCGAGTTATAAATTGATTCGCTCTGGGTTGCCCTTAAAAATGTGTTTGCGTAAGTAATATATTAATAACTATGCGAAATGAAAAAAGAAAATAACAATGTTATTTTGTTACCAAAAATTTTGCTGTAATTAATTATGTGCGCTTAGAAAAATCTTTAAAAAACCTGCTTAAGCATTCAATCTCTCTCTTTCTACGCACGAAAATAGATATGGTGTAATACAGTATAAATACTATATAATTAATGTAAATTCGTCAAAAAAAGCTAGATCAAGTGCTGATAGTAGAACATTTCTCCCCTCTATAACGTTAGTAGTTATTTCGCCCTCCAACATAAAAAATCGCGTCGCTTGTGAAGAATTTAGTTTTGGGTTTGCTGTATTGATTTGCAAAAAAAGTTCTTTAGCTGCATTTCGGTGTGAAATTTTCAAAACACGTGCGTACAAAATAACCAAAAAAGCTGGCAATCAAAGTTAACCACATCATGGCTTTTACAAATAAATACACTACCATGCGTGTAGGAGTTTAGACAGCTTAAAATCAATCAAGCGGCACATTACAGCAAAGGTGATCTCATCACAAAATTACTTTTTACCTTCTTGGAATTGGGAAGCAAAAATCTTTTAAATGTTTATTGCTGAACTAACTTTTATAATAATTTTTGTATTTACTATCCACTATTCGATCAATAAAGCATTTGAAAAATATTCAAACTCGCGCAATTTTCCTTTCATTTTCTCCTTGAAATTTCAAATCTTTCCCAAGGGTTTTGTGCATTTTATGTGTGGATGTGATTTTGAATTTTACAACCTCAAGGCAGTAAAAGACAGGCATATGTACTTTGTGAGCTCCGTTCACCGCGCTTTACTGCAGTCGGAGCATAAAATTTTCTCGTTCTCTTCTCCCTTGCATGCCATTCACCAATTTCTATGTTTGTATGCGTCCCTGTATGTTTTTAATGATGCATCCATTAAATCTCTAAATATAAATCAACTGACTAACGCAGATCAATAAACAGGCAACAAACACGTTGAATGAGAATCATTACTCATTTCCCTCACACAGTCGAGACTCGCGTTCCATTTTAATTTAACTGCGATGAGCAAACAATTAATCTGATTGATACGATCAATAAAAGACCGGATAATGACGTCATTAAGCGCATTCATGAGTATATGCACACAGTATTGCAACAAACCGCAATTTCAATGCAACAATAATAATCACATTCTGTGGTTAATTTACAGCACCATGTATATTAAATTTGCGATCACTTCCATGGACTGTTTTAAAACAATGTGATATAATCTCTGTATAAGACGTGGTTGTGGAAATAATCCCTTATAATGCTGCTATAGTATATTCTACGTAGCTTCTCTGCGCAAAAAGCACTCTCTCCAGCTTTTAAAATCTTTGCCTTTTCTTGAAAATTTCCGGCACTCTCTCTATCGACATTTCTTACTTCAGTTGACTTTGCTCTTAATTCTATATCACTATAATTTGCAAATTTGTTGCAGTTATCTGTTGATACCAGAGAAAACAAGGTAACTGTTTTTTTCAAATAAATTTTAATTAAAACAACCCCACACACATATTTTACGCACAATTTATTTCAACAAAAAGAAGTGCTCTATTAATAAATTTCTCAACTAGAGAATACACCGACAATAAAAACGACGGATGATAAATTTTTGTACAAAGTCTTGCCACCCTTAAGCTTCACCCTGCCGGTGTCTCGTTCCCAAAGTGGTTGTGAATGTCTGACTGCATGCTCGATGGCATTTTTGGCTCGAATTGCAGGAGTGACGATGATTGGTGCCATGCCAGCAGTTGCCGTGAGGCATGAGAGGCGCAAACAGGACAAGAAGAAGTCGCGCCCGGGCCACCTCTACCTGGCCAACTATGCCAACAAGCAGGCCACCTCCTCGGGCAAAAGCTCGCCCTGCCCCAGCAGGGGTGGCAGTCCTAGTCCGGGCAGTGCCGGCGGAGGGCTGAGCCCCATCGTCACGACGCCGCCCCACGCCGCCGAATCGCCGCAGACCGAGGAGTTCTACGTGTGCGCCAAAGTGTCCACCCTGCACGTGATCGTCGTCTCCTACCTGCTCGGGATCATCCTGCTCATCGTTGGCCTGGTGCAGCTCAAACCTGGTGCCGATGCCAGTGACCACAGGTAAATATTGAGAAATCAAAGCAATGGTTTTAAAAAAAATTTCAATTTTAGATTTAAAGCAATCCTGTGGTTTCAAAAAATTTTCTATTAAATTTGATTGATTTGTCCTGAATACAGTTTTTCGTTTTTCAGCACATTTTACATAGGCATTAATTTTTGTTAACTATCCGTTTTATAGACAAATCATAACTGCCTCATGACGAATCAACGGAAATGGTCTCTACATAATAAAGTAATCTCAAAAAATGTGCTTTTTAGCCAAAACTAGATTTTACTTGTTTTGTGTTGCATTTATTTTTCAAATTCATTTATTGCAAAAATTATGCACAAATACGTTATATTAAAGAACTTTTGTGAAATTTTGAGTAAAAGTGAACTTTTTCAACAATTTTCAAATTTAATACATGTAGTAAATGAGTGTATAGTTTTATTAAAGATAATTAATTAAGTAAGTAGTATATTGTTAAATACTTTTGTGATTAATGAAAAATAGATTTTATGATTTAGGTTTTGAATAGCATTTTCCTAGAATATTCTATTATTTTGAGTAAAAGTTTCATAAATTCATTTTCTGCTGCATAAAAATAAATAATTTAAATTAAATTTCTCACTTCTGTGTGTGGTACTATTGCTCACTGGCGGGCCGGCGGTCTGAATCATTTTGAATGGAGTGTGTGAATTTATTTTGTGGTCCTGTCACCTATATAAAAATCTTAGTGCGACAATCTAATTATGTTAAAATTTTCCAAAATTTAGCTCTGTGTTTAATTGTATATAGATTTTAAAATTTGCAAACAATTTATTATTATTATTTAAAAGCTTTAATTATTCTTCTTTACTCCACGGTGAGAGTTTTTCAAAAAGCAAGAGATAAGAATAAAAATTTGAAACTATTCCGCTTACACCGATCTAGTGATCATCCATTTGTTTCTTCAAATTAAAAAAAAGACCTTTAATCTCAAACAAATATTACTTTAAGCTTGCTTCAACTGATTTCTGAACCGGGAAGAAAAAATAATTTATCAATTAAAGATTTGATACAAGTGTAAAAATCTGAGAGCCAGTGATCCAAATAATATATTTCCAGTTTGGTAAATGAATTAACATAAAAATTTTTCAATAATCTCGTAATTATCTGTTTCCAGATTTTACATTCTTGGTGCGGGGAGCGTCCTGCTGGCGTTGGGAACCTTGCTGTCGGTGGCCCGGTGCGTGATGGTGCCGATCAGACGGTGTCTGCACAAGCGTCGCGCTCGAATACGGCGAATGCGCAAAGAGGAGTCGGCCGCGCTGGCGCTGACCAAGTCGCCTGCGCAGAATGGCAGCAGTTCAAGCACACCAGCGCATCCGCTGCCGCACCACCATCACCACCACCACCAGCAGAAAACGTCGCACGACATCATCCAGGAGATGCCGTCGGCCGAAGAGCGGGCGGCCGCCGACCCGTCGCCGGCGGCCACGTCTGCGCGCAACGGCGCCACGCTGACGCAGAGCCAGAGCGTGAGCATCGAAATCGAGACGCACAGCAGCTCCAAGGACACGCTGGTGTCGACGGCCAAGTCACCGTCCGAGAACGACCACCAGTTGCAGCAGAAGCGGCCCTCGGTGGCTAAAACGTAGACGCCCCTGTGGCGGGGGTGCTCGTCGCCTCCCGACGGATTTTCTACGCACGTTTTCGCGCGCTTTGGCACGTGCGCAGTGGACTCTCTTTTGTCTCTGTCCGAGACCCTCGAGATGAAGTAATAAAAAAACATTGCCAGGCACTTGATTAAATGGAGCATTTAAAATTTCAAATAAAACGACATCAACGTACAATGGACATTAGTAGTGGGAATTGACAAAGCGTGTGTCCTGATGATTTTGAAAATGGGCCACGGGAGAAACTCAAATTCTTGAGTGGTTTTGCATTTTGATTTTAAATTAAGCCAGGAATAAGATATTTACGTAATGCATAAATAATTTGTTACGTATATTTTAAGTATCCAAAATTATTGTTAAATGTGAAATTTTTAGAAGATTCTGTTCCAAAAATTTGAATTTTAACTCATCTTTAGTCATCCTGAAAATGATTCTAGATTGAGGTCGTGCATTTGGGATTTAAAAAATAAGATTCAATTTAGTGTAGTTTTTAGTTAATTTCACCATAGCCATCAGACATCAGTTATTGCACATCAGCCAAAATTATTATGACTGTCATACACATTTCAAATTTTTGAGCTGTCAAAATTTGGCATTGCTAATTTCTAGTTGCTTATTTCTTATTTGAAAACTTCATGGACATGATTAATAAGTTCGTTCTTTTAAAAGCTGTTTGAAATCATGTAGAGGTGATCGCAATTTTTATTTTATTTATTTATTTTTATTTTTTAAATAGTTTAGGAAAAGCTTTCAAGTGTCAACTATGCTTTTTTATTTTTAGTTTAATAGCGAGGAATATTTAGGTCAATTTCCAAAAGAACAAAAAAAATACTAAACATGATACTCTTAACGCAGTATTGCTGTCATAAAAGTATGGATTATAAATTAAAACTCATAATTCAATGTTATATAAATTATAAATTACGTAAATTAAAGCTAAATGTATGTCATTGAGCATCAAAGCTACTTCCAATTTGCCATGTTTCACTTTTGAAAACATTTTGCAGAAGCACATATGGGTGTGAGTGCGCGTAAATTGATTACAACTTTATACTATAGTAAAGCCAGAAAAAAGAAATCAAAAAAATTTCCAACCGCCAAAATTATTATAACTTGACTAAATGGGAAATTGTGTGCTGAGCTGTTGACTCTCATTGTAGAAAAAAATAGCATGCTAAAGTGTCTATCACAGTTCATCAAAAAGGTACCTGGTGTCTACGATCTTTAAAATTATCATAACCTTCATACACACGCAAGCTCTCTGCTGCAAAATTTAGGAATCTTATTTCGTTAAAACCTTGAAAATTTCCACCACCTCGTTGTAACTGTCGAAATCCAATCAATTCAATTGTATTTGTAAAATGTGTCTCCGTGCTTGAAAGATGTTTAAAGAAGTATTATAGTCGCGTTCCAAAATTGGCTGGAAAGTTTATTTTGTACTAGATGAAAAGTATCAGTGGGTCTATATAAGTCTCCGCAAGAGGAGACGTTCAAAGCTTTAAAGAAAATCACAAATTACAACCGAAGAGCTTACCCGCGATTTCAAAATGATAAAAACAACAACACCGACCCTCAAAAACATCACCAAAAAATCTAAAAAAATATAAGCAGCATGAACTAATTGCTCAGAGTAAAATTATTTTGGAATACGACGAATAAAATAATTGTGTGTCCTTGGAGAAAAGTTAAACAAAAGTACATTGTTGTTTGGCGAAATGCATAACCGCAGCAAAATTAGGTGGAGCGTCTTTGATTTGAGTTGATTTTTGTGAACCGTGTAATTTGAAAATATTCACTGGTTAGGACAAACTCAGGATGTGCTTTGCAAAGTAGAAAAATTTGTGCCAACGCCCAGACGGTCAAAACGATCAGTGGGGCGTTGAAAAGGGGACATTTTTCGCTTGCCTGAAAATCTCATTCACACGTTCAATCGGAAAAGGCTCGATTCAAATTTAATGAATTTAAGATCTTTTCAGGCATCAGCAAACTCCTTTTAAAATTAGCTGTGTGTGTATAGCGCTGTTTATCCTTTTCTAGGGGCGCCTGCAAATATTTAAGTATGCAACCTGCTCGGCTTTTAAGATGAAACGGTTGCATATTTTAATCATCTGCAGGTTTATGGAAATTATAATATTCTCAAAAAATTGCCAGATATCCTAAATTAATTACTACGAATCATTTTTCAAGTTACGGAAGAAGCGTAGCCTTCTAAAATGAAACGCACAAATCTGTTCATTCGCTTGGAAGGCCTCGTCATCAAACACAAATTTTCCAAAACATATTTTTCCTTTCAATTAAAAAAAAATTGTTTACCATCTGACGAAGTTAATGACCTTCGTTTGGATTTAATGAATTTTTTCATACTACGAAACTAGGCTATATGCTACCTGAAAGAATATTATTCAAGTGTTTACCCTATCTCTTTTCCTCGCACATTACACGCACTATTTCCTAAAAATACTTATGACAAGTGTAAAATTTAAATCCACTACTGGGACATTACATACTTATGGACCAACCTTTAAATATAATTAACACGGTTAACACAACAGACGCATCAAATCCATCAGTTCTTTGATTCCTGGATGTACTGATTTTCTTGGTCTCCTATCTTTTAAGTCTGCAACTTAATTAATTAATTGCATAGCCAAATGTTTGTTGAAGTTTTGAGCATTTAATAAAGATATAAACAAATAAAATATGTTTACTCTTGGCTTATTCTTGTTATAAATAGGCATAAATTGATTAAAGAAATTTGCAACTATGGTTTTATAATTAAAAAATCTGATACAAAAATTCAAACAGATGCACTGGGCTTCGCAACGTTCAAGGGTGCCAAATTACCTTATATTGTACTTTGCGGTCTGAATTATGATGTAATTTATGCGCTTCATTTTGTTTTTATTTGCTTGCAAAAAGATTTCTTAGCAGCCCTTTTTACGACGCCGCAATGCAATCACGCTATTCAGCTTGAAATTTTCATTAAGACGTGTGAACATGCACTGTGTATATTGCCAATGAAAAGATGTTTTAAATTCTATTCATTAAAATACTCTTCATTAAAAATAACTTAAACACTTGAAAAGATCTTATATATATATTATTATATATTGATATTGTAATACTTTCATGGGAAATAAAATGGTTCAAGATTTGCACAGACTTTTTCTTGCCTTCGACCTGACAAAGGTTCCCTGATTAAAATGAAATTTGCCTTTTTTCGTTATTTTAAACATAAAGCAATTCAACTTTAATTCAATGACAGAAATTATACGACTTTTCCAAAAGAGAAAGAAACTTTGGCTAAAAAATTCTTAAGAATTCACGATTGATTTGGATACAAAATCGCATCATATCAAAATACACCACAAAAACCCTAAAATATACTGGAATGGTAGTTTCCCTTGTGCTTAAGATGAAAAGTAGAGTTGGTACAGGTAAAATAAACCTTACTTGGAGTTTGACTAGCATAGAAGACTGATATGACCGGCATCTGAACCAAGCAGCAGAAGTCTGTTGAGGGGCAAGACTGCCATAGCTGTTAGGACACCTTTGAAAGTGTCACTCCTGAGCCGAGTTGAGGAAAAGCACGCCTGCTCTCCCACAGAGGTGTGCACCCCGATTCTGTTGGCTGTGGTGCCTGAAATTAGCTCCGAATTGTAGGCATTCAGGCAATGAACTGGCTCGGTGGGTCCTTTCAGGATGCAGCGGAGGTTCCCGTTGTCTGAACTCCAGGTGGCCACCGTCTGGTCTAGAGACGAGCTGACCAGATTGCTACCAGAAGAGGCAAGCTGGAGAACTTCACCTTCATGACCTTTCCAGGATGACAGGATCATACCCATTCGAACGTCCAACAAGGCCAGGTGGCCGGATGACTGGCCCACAGCCACTGTGTTACCAGAGTTGCACACAGAAATGCAGCGAATTAGACCGCCTGCTGAGTTCGCAACCTGAAATCATTAATTTTTTTTATTAAAAAAGAAAATATTATACTATTTTACTAAATTATATATCTCTATAAAATCTGTATTGTAGAGTGAATTTTCGTTTGAAATTAGCAATTCATTGTTAATGAAAATGGGGAAAAAGTTAATTTTATTAATCACCAAAAATCAATAAATAATTATAGTATAGAAGCACGACTGTTACAAACCTTCATCTCTATAACATATTCAGCCGTCCTGATGTCCACAATCTTCAAAGTTGCATCCGTCGTGGCAGCCAAAACTGAGCAACTTGGTGCTGGCATGGAATGTAAAACATTGACAGGTGAGTTAGCGGTCCTGTTGGCTCCGTCCAAGACTGCGACCGTCGCTCCCATGAAGGGGTCCCACAGGTGAACAATCGAGTCGCATGAAGCCACAAGTCCCATTGGCTCGACATAGGCAATGGCCAGAACGGACTTGCGGTGTTGATTGTACGACCACCTGCAGGTCGAGGCTGTGGTGCCATCACCTTGACTGCGCAAAGACCATAATTTGACAGTTTTGTCTCGGCTGCCGCTGATGAAACTGTTTTCATTGTCCAAAACATGCAGTGCCCGGACACTGTGTGTGTGGCCAGTGAACTGCTGCAATTTGATTTGCTTGAAGTTGAACTTGTTATCTTTGTCAGCACGGCCAATTTCATGGTCCCAGTAAGCAAGCCAGTTCCCCCTCAGGTGCCGACTTGTGTTTTCCATCCGCTTGCTGATGATGTTAGACACTTCGTCCAAATTTTTGAAGCCCGGACTTGGCAGGGTTGACGGTATGTCTGGACGCTGTAATTCTATTCTGTTTCCAATCACAGAAACATTGGTGCCAAAACTGCCAGAGGTGCCAGCAAGATTTTCTTCAGTCGGCAGAAGATCCGACAGGTACACAAGACTTCCAGTTCCTTGACTGTGTTTCAGTCTTGGCGTCATCTGCTCGTATTGGTAGCAGAGATCTCTGACAAGAGGCTCGTTTTTCATTATTTTCTCCATTAGTGATTCTCCCAATAGACGATAAAATGGAATGTAAATGCAGTGGGCCAATTTCTCATTAAAAACTGCCTTGATCTCGTGCAGCGCTTTGCTTCGAATCTCGTTCGCAGCTTCCAGAATTGGGGCAGGTGGTGAGAAGGAATCAATAGACTCGTAAACCATAACCTGAAAAACACTTTTAGTTTTATAATTACATTTTCAATGATGAAAATTTACATGTGAAATTTGCAATGGCGATCCTCTGAGAGTGATGTCTGTTGATTCTCTCTTGACTTCCAAATGGCTGCTTTCTGGTTCAGTCTGGTCATAAGCTTTGTCGAAGGCAAGGAAGTATCTTTGAAGAGTGACGGACAAATGCATTCTGGTCATGTCCGTTCCAATCCTCAACGCAATCATATAAAGTGCCTCTAACAATTTGTAAGCCAAAGCAAGTCTGGCTGTTGCTCCGCAGGGGAAAGGAGCTCTGGTTGTGGCCACCAGGCGTACTGACGGGTGAAGAATGTTCTTCAGGATGTCAGTAAGTTGTTCCATCAATATTGAGTCTGACAGGTATGGAATGATGCTGCACACTAATGAGAGGCACCCTATCAACCCAGCTTCCAAGTTTTGGGTGAGTTTTCGCTTGCACAGGGCAATTAACTCTGACATGTGACCAAAATATTGAACAACAACCAGCTGTTCTCCATAAATTGCTGCGCAAATAAAATTTTCAGAAATTATTGCAACTTAGATTGTTTTGTCTTTATTACCTGCAATTTCAGCCAAGCAGGAAAGCACCCTTGCTGAGTTGTCATCGCCAACAAGTTTTAAACCAGGTATAGCTATAAATTTTAATTACGATTTATTTGGATTTATTTAAAGAAATGGGTTTAGAAAAAAAATAATTACCTTGACAGCACGAATCCTGTCCTTTACTGGGTGCTAAGCTGCTTTCCCCGAGATAACAAAGAGAGAGCATTCTCAAAAGGTTCCGTGATAAGTGCCTGGCAGTCAGCACCGGTCCCAGCCTGTGAGCCAACCACAGAAGAGACTCTGCACTTTCCTCCGAGACAGGAAACTCGGTGGCAGCAGTTGGTCTCCTTGGAGGTCTCCATTCTGTCTGCACTGGAGTGGCGGCGGCCAATTCTTCAGGGGTCGAATCTTTTGCCTCATCAATCTCCACATTTGCATTGGTGTTTTCAGGTTCTTGATCCATGTCTATTTCTAACTGGGCCATTAAGTCCAAAGCAACAGCTGGAGAGGTCACCAAGTTTACAGGGTCACTTTCCTCATTCTCATTATTGTTTTCCAAAACAAAAACTTCTAAAAATTTTAAGAATCAAATACACTATTTTTATAATACTCAATTTTTTTACCTAGCTCATTTTCTGTATCAGAAACTTCCTCCTTTTTTGTTTGAAAAACTTCCTGTTCTGTAACAAGTTTTTCAGAGTCAGCAGAGGAATCTTCGTCGAGAGGAGACAAAATTCCAGCTTCTCCTTCGTACATGGCAAAATTTTCCACCGCACCAAGTGCATCCGATTTTCTTCTCTCCGAATCCAGTGTGGGCGTTTTACACTGCTGGTCTTTGTAGCCACCAACTGCTTCGACAAGAGGCTTAACAAAGTTGACGATGAATATTTTCAGTCCGAATCTGACCATAAGCTTGAGCAAAAAGCTCCTGTGGTACAATTTAGCTCGAGTTGCTCCCCCACTTTCGAGCAAGTCGCAGATTGGATCCAAAAGCTCTTTGGCTGATTTTTGAGGCCCTAAAGCTTTTGCCACTGGGTCAAAAAGGCGCCAGGCCGCATTAGTCGCAGATTCGCTTTTAAGGAGTCGCACAATGTGTGGAATCAAAAGGTTGATCCCGTCTTGATCCATTTTTTGCAAGAGCTGAGGTAATTCTTTGTGGAAGAGATTCACTTGCAACTCTGATGTGTCATCTGGACTGCTTTCCAATTCATAGATTCCAGCAAGCAAAATGTAAAGAGACTCAAAATATTCCGGGAAAGGAACAACCGACGAAAGAAGTGGTTGAAGGAGCTGATGAGCAGACGGAGGTGGCAAGCCACCTGAGGAGATGCAGTGGTAAAAATCTTGATTCGGCTTTTGTGACTTCTTGCCAAAGTCATCCACTTCAAGCAGGAGGGATGTGATTTTCTTGACTGCACAGGGCATGTCCCTCCATTCTTTTTCAACCACTTTAAGACAACGATCGAGTCTTTGATTGAAATCACAGTGGATCAAATCAGCTGCTCTTAATTTGGTAGCCAAATAGATTTCAACAATCAAACAGCCGAGAGTCTGCATTTCCTTCACCCTTGATGCTGCCACTGCTTTTTTATAAGGGGAGGAAAGATCTTGCTGCTCACTTATTTCATCCTTTGCGTTTTCATGTAATACTTCCGAGGAGAAGTGGAAAAGGTTCTCCACGTCTTGAAGCAAAGAAATGGGGTTGAAGTCTTTCGGAAGGTGAATGGCCTTAGCTGCTTCTTCAGCGGCAAGAAATGACTTTGACTTAGACAGAGGCTTAAAAACTCCAAGAGGAGAAGAGTCTTCTGGCGTCTCGCTTTGGAATTCAACCATGTCTTCTATATTGTCAGGTGTTGACAACACAGGTGACAAAATGCAAGGCAGAGTGTTTTCCAGTCCTTAAAAAACAATACAAATTAATTTAAATAATTAAATTTCACTCTTAAGAATTTAAAATTTACTTTTTTTGCATGTTGGAATGGCAATTTTTGGAGCAGATATTTCCATGTAAGGATTGGGGGTGATCTTGTGGGGGTGCGGTTGCGTGAAAAGTTGGACAGCTCCGCAATCAGAGAGATTGGTGTGGTTGTCCACAAGGTACAAGCACACATTCTTGGATTTGATGGCCGCAGAGCCACTCAGTTTGTAACCAAAAGTGAGATCAATCCAGTGATGAAGTCGTTCGCTGACGTGCACACTTTCCAGAGCTTGTCTGTGTTTCTCCACAAAGTGCTCTGGAGAAGAAGCCCACGAAGGAAGCTCCAGATCAGGCAGATCTTCGTGTATGGACTAAATAAAAAAAAAACTTAGTTATTGTGATCTGATTATAATTAATTCTTTAAGTTTTACCTTGAATGTATTTGCATCGGTGTAGAACTCTGGAATGCATTCGTCGGGAGTCCACTCCTGCAATCTCTGGATCGAACTGGGATATTCGGCTGGCACCCAGTTAGGTCTTACATACTTGCAAAGAAGGGATTTGGGGGTTCTCCTAGCTAAGTATACAAAATATGTGATTTCTGATAGGAAGTCTGAGACGTGATGAGGAATCTGCCATTAAAAATAATTATGAATAATTTTATTTTCTTTGCGTCTTTTTTTGGCAACCTGTAGTAGATGTGAATCACAACTTTGGTGGTTTGAGGCTGTTTCGAAGGTGAGGTCCAACTGCCTGTCACCTTTGTTGAGCCTAAACTTGGACTTCGAAAGGTCCCGCCAGCCATCATTGGACGTAGAGAAATCTGTCACCCAAGGTAAGACATGGTGGTGACTGGGGTGACCGAACTTTCTTCCAGCAAGGCAGTTCAGGGCAATGAGGTAGTCAAAGTTTGATAACTGCCCTCGTACCCAAAGGTCCAGCAGTTGGTTCAAAGCTTTTTCCCGAGACTTTTCATTCCTCAACAAAATAGAATGCACTTCTTTACAATTTATGTAGGGATGCTCTGTAATTAATTAAAAAACATGAGATCATAAATATTTTAATTAAAACTATACCTGAATCAATTTCAGCTGGGGCAATTAAATTTTCCTCAATTTTTGGAACGACACTGACCCACAAGCTAGTTGAAATCAGCAGATCATGTAAGTTGACGCCTCCGAGGACAACTCCTTTGTCGTAAGTGTCTCTCAGGAGACGAAGGAGTTGAAAAATAATGAATAAAGATCTCGATCTTGCAGAGTTCAGAACTGCTGGGCTGAAGGTGACACAGTCGAACAGAGAGTGCGGAATATGGTTTTGCAATAGGAACAAGTGCTGAGAGTTGAAAACAGCGCATAAAGTGGGGAGACAGTTGGGGTGCGTTTGGAAGCAGTCCTTTGGCGCAGGGAAAACCTCTTGAGTGTCGAGGTTGATCACAGGACATGAGTATACTCGTTTCACCACCTCCAGCAGAACAGCGTTTTTGGAAAGCAGAGGAACCCTCTGAAGGTCTTTCGTGCCTGGCAGACCTGCAGGAAAATGATGAATTTGAAATTAACAATTTTTAAATGAGGCTTACTTGAAAATTTTCTGAACGAGTCCTTCCACGAGTTTTTGTAGTTTGAGTGGTTGATGTAGTGCAAAAGCTGTGAGTATGAAAGGTGAAGGGAATCCAAAGTTGCATTGGTTTGCCTCGGTCGAGGAAGTGGATAGACTTTTTCTTCAGGATCAAACCGGATGACCTTAGGAAGATATATTTACTAGCCTATTTAAAAAGATTTAATAACAATGTTACTCGTATTGACAAGAACTGCCAGGAGGAATCAAAGGGCTCTCCAAGCTTCAAAAACAGATCTACTTCAAAGTCAGTCAGTTTTTCGTGATACTTGAAAATATCCGGGCGGCCTTTTTGTAAAAGAGAGCTGGAATAATTGCGATTGCAACGATTAAAAAAATTGATAAGAGTATAAATCGGTATAAATTTTTACCTAAGCCAAGTCCTATGGACGAGAGCAATAAATCTGTCATCATTTTTGGTGACTTTGGTGTACTTCTCTGGGATAAACAAAAACTTTCGAAGGGTTTGCCTCGCGTCGGTATCCATACCAAATCAGTCTTTCAAGGAGAAAGAATAAAAGTAGTCGTTCCTGGAAAACAATGAGTGTCAAATTGCTGTTGGATGAAATAGGAGAAAAATAAGAGACGAGTGATTGCGTACAAAAAAGTTGAAACAACATGTTGCTCTCACCTTTCACAAAAGATTTTGGCATCAGTGCCAAACGCATGCATAAAGCCTCATGAAATTCTGTAGTCATGTGCGGTTTCGCAAAAGCTGACACCAATACCAATTAGACCGCTGACCGCGAGCAGGTCTCATGATTTTGACAGCCCTAAAAACGACTCACGAGAGAAGCGAGCTAAAAAAAGCTTTTGTGTGCCTGCCACGCCCCCTCAGCTGTCAGATCACAACAAAACAAAAGAGATCCAGAATCTTTTTCCAGAGAACTAGGGATAGTAGAGCTCTGGGATACGAATAAGGGCGGGGCTTAGGTACCAGCTCCCATTTGATTACATTGTACCAGTTTAACATTGCGGGTATGGGGGGGCTCCGCCTTTCTTCGTATCCCATGGTTCTACAATCCCTACAGAGAACTTGATCGTGAGTAAATTTTTATGCTGAGCTGAGACACAAAAAATACAACATTAAGCTTTTCCCTCATTTCATCTGAACTTTTCAACAAAAAATGATGTTGTCAATAACACGGTTAAGGAGTTGTGTGGTAAGAAAAAGAAATAAAAAGTTATGTTATTTTAACTATTAATATGTAATACATAGTCCCACAGTTTGTGTGCATATTTAAAAATGGATTTAATATTAGAAAAAACTGAATCAGCATGATAAAGTTTAAAAGTTTAAAAAAGAAATTTTTTTTGTGAAATTTCAGACACTTCAACATTCGTCCAGACTTCTAACAACAAGCCAAAATTCGCCTAACCAAAATGAAAATGAGAGTGGTTTTGTCATTCAGCCCGTTGGAGAAAAAGACATGGTTGGTCCACCAGACAAGGTTTCCAACATTAGACCAGTTATTTTCCACGTTCCTGTCAACGAGTCCGTCGCTGAAAAGGAGTATAGACAAAAAAGACAAGAGGTTTTGCAGTGGAACCAGGAATTCTGGACCAAACACAACTTGCGGTTTATCAAAGTGTGTCATTTACTGTTTTAAAAAACATCTTATTTTAAATCAAAACTTGTACAATCATATTTGCAGGAACGAGAAGAGTTTGTGAAAATTCAGCAGCAAAGGAAAGGAAATAACGAGACACTGTGTGCGGACGAGATGTCGATTTTTTACAAGAGGTTCCTCGACGAAAACTGGCAAGTACATGTGAAATACAATGGAGATTGGTACAAGAAAAACATCGGGTTGATGCTTCAGTCTTTCAAAATACAAATTTTGAAATCATTAGGAAGACTCAATGGAAAATCTTAATTATCTAGCAATAAATTCACTACAATCTAGTCATATTTCGAACAAAAACTGTCTTTAATGAAAACTATGAAATTCACACTTTCTGTCCCTGTGTCAGTGCAAAATATTTTCCCCTCAGGGCTCTCAGTTCTTCGTGGGTCCCAACTTCAGCGACCTTTCCTTGATGTATCAGTGCAATGCAGTCCGCGTTTTTTATAGTCGTCAGTCTGTGCGCCACCACAATGCAAGTCCTGCCCTGCCTCGCCTTGTCCAGAGCATCTTGCACCACCTGAAAGATTGATTATTAATTTTTATTTTTATTGGCTTAAAATTGTGGAATAAATTATTTCAAACCTTCTCACTCTCTGTGTCCAGAGCTGAGGTGGCCTCATCTAGGAGCAAAATTTTTGGGTCTCTGATCAAAGCACGGGCAATTGCAACTCTCTGCTTTTGGCCGCCTGACAACTGGGTACCTCTCTCGCCCACCATTGTCTCATAGCCCTTAGAATATTACAAACAAATTATTTTATTTAGGTATTTTTTTTTTCATATAGTAATGAAATCCAAATATCCCTTCTATTTTTTCTCATTATTTTTGTATTTTTATTTATGATTGAATATTTTGGAAAAATAGTTCAATATTTCCACTTTTTTTAATTCGATGAAATTCTGCTTGGAAATATTTATAATTACCAATAAACGTGGAAGTTTTATATAAGTAATATGATTACTTCAAAATAAATTTTTACACCAAAATATAATTTTTCTTTCAAATTTTTAATTTAAAAAAAAAAGTAAATCAAAATTCTGATCAAGAATAGAATTTTTACCTGTGGAAGCGTAACTATGAATTTGTGGATATTTGCAGTTTTTGCAGCTTGTATGATATCACTGTCTGTAACAAAGCTCACTGCACCGTAGGCGATGTTGTCCCTTATTGAGCAGTCAAACAATACCGGCTCTTGAGTCACAATTCCAATCTTCGAACGCAAATAGGCCAAATTCAAAGTGCGAATGTCAAACCCGTCAATCAACTGCCAATTTTAAAATTATTACTAAAATAATTTTTAATTTAAAAAAAAAAGCAAATTACAATTTGTCCTCCGAGGGGATCGTAAAATCTCTCCAGAAGGGCAATCGCTGTGCTTTTCCCGCATCCAGAGGCACCAACTAGAGCAAGGGTCTGCCCTCTGCGCACCCTGAAACTGAGTCCCCTGAGCACTGGCACGGCAGGTCGGCTCGGGTACCTGAATCTGACCTCCCTGAACTCAACATCGCCGCGAATATCCTAAAATCCTTTGGAATTGGAAAACCTTTAACGCAAATTTAATGATCATACTGGTCTGGCCCCTGGGGCAGCGGCCACGTCAATTGCCGGCTGCTGTTCGATCAGTTCGAACATCAGATTGGCGGCGTTTTTTGCCTTTGTGTAGTCCTGCATGTAGGCTGAGGTCTGACCAACGGAGGCGGCACAGAAAGCCAGAGCAAAAAAGACTCTGTGGAAAAATGCAAATTTAATAATTGTTTTTAATTTGCCAACATGATTGGGGTGATATGAATCAGTTATGAACTAGGTTGGTGAATTTTTTATCTATTTTAATCAGGCAAATTGTGAGAAAAGCGTTAATTTAGTATATTTCAATTCAATAGGAAATAATGTTAAACTTAATTTTCAAAAAATAAGTCCTCTTAATTCATTTGATTTTTCTTACAACTTCTACAAATCAATGCTAATTATTGCAAAGAAAAATATCACTAAAATTAATCAGGCCTTTTTTAAAGGATTTAAGGAAAAATTTTACAACTAATTTCTCACCTGTAAACCTCAGTAGGCCCCATATCTCCAATTTCAATCAGGTATGCGCCAAAACGGAACGCCCCGGCGTACATCATGTAAATAATTGCTTGCGAAAATGAAAACACCAAAGCGTACATGAAGGCTTGTTTCTTCGCCTCACTGATTAGTAAAAAATATTAATAGTTAAAAGGGAAAAAATCCGAATTTGCAATTTTACTTGAACGGCGCTTCCAAATACTTGACGTACAACTGAAAGAAAAGTTTCTCCTTGCCCAGCGACTGCACTGTTCTCACATTTTGAACGCTCTCTGTCGCAACCTTTTTTTAAATTTCCATTTAATTAGCTTTTAATTTCAATCGGTAAAAATTACTCTTCCCGCTTGGTCCATAAGCTCTGCGTCTCGTCGCTGGTTCCTCCGCAAAATCATGGTTTGTTGGTGAGAGGCCATCGCCAGCAGAGGAACCGCGATCAGCAAAAGCAAAGCCAATTTCCACCCATTTATCAGGGCAATGGTCAAAGCAGCCACCAAGGTTACAATTGCGCTCAGCATCATTCCAGCTCGCAATCCCGAAGCCTAATATTTTATTTTTTGTAAAGATTAAATTGAACAAACCCAAACTTACCCCTTTAACCAACGGAGCGTCGCGCGCCAGTCTGGTGATGAGCTTTCCAGCTGAATTTTGCTCCAAATCAAACCAGCCAATGGATTGCCTCAAAATATTCACAAATGCCATCAATCTCAGTCTCATCACCAATTTCTCAGCTGCACTTGTCATTCCAACCGTCTGAATTTAGATCAAAAATTAATTAAAAAAAAAAAATAAATTATTTTCGCACAGACCTGCAACCAAAAACTATAAGCAGATCCAATAGCCAAAACTAAAAACATGAGTGTCCAAAACTCGGCTGCTGCTTTGAGTGCATCCCCAGTTAGTGTAAAAGTCTGAAATTGTTTTCATTCGTGATTTTTTTCCTTTAAAGTTTGGTTCAGAATCTTACAGCAAATATTTCGCCATAGAAAAATGCGAATACGGGCATCACCGAGCCGAAAATAGCGCACCCGATGAGTCCTAGAACTAGCCAGCCCCACTCAGGACTGTTCAGTCTTATCAGTCTCCAGGCAGTGTTGTTAGTGTTGAACGACGGCTCCTTGGGCGTCGCTTTTTCAATTTCAGTCTCATTGTAGGAAGTTACTGAAAGGGTTGAGACGCTTTTGTGAAGCGTCTTTTCAGTCTGTGCGTGGCTTCGCTTTCCATTCGGATCCAATTTTGGCTCGTCTCTCAACAAAACGTCGCTAATTGTAGCGTAATTAATTTTTATAATAATAATTATAATAATAAATTAAATACTTTTCGCCGTCCTCGGAATAATCCTGCTCGTATTCAGACTCGTACAGCTGCACATCCTCCGGACCCTGCATTGTCTGCAGAGTGACCAAGCTGTAGTAGAGACCCTTTCGCATCATCAGATCCTCGTGGTCACCCCATTCACAAATTTCTCCGTTCTGTTTGGGTGCGAAAAATTCATAGAGCCAAATGGAAATTAAATAAAAACTTAAAAGCTCACTCTCATCGCGTATATGACGTTTGCATTTCTGATGGTGGAGAGTCTGTGAGCGACTATTATCGTAGTTCTTCCCTCCATTGCCTATATAAACCCTTTTTAATAACTTTCAAGTACGCGCGCATTATTCTTAAATCTTAACGTACTTTGTCAAGAGCTTCCTGCACTACAGATTCACTTTGCGTGTCAAGTGCTGAAGTGGCTTCGTCCAGGAGCAAGATTTTTGGGTCTCTCACGATGGCCCTGGCAATTGCAATCCTTTGCTTCTGCCCTCCTGAAAGTTGGGCCCCGCGTTCACCCACCATTGTATCATATTTCTAGAAATTAATTAAAATTGTAACGCAAACTCATGGGTAAAAATTATCATTTAAAATTTTGATTTATGAAAAAAATTCAATGAAATATTTAAAAAAAAATAATAATAATTTTAATACCTGAGGCAACATAGATATGAAGGTGTGCGCGTTGGCCATCTTGGCCGCCCTAATTACTTCTTCGTAGCTCACTTTATCGTGGCCGTATCTGATGTTCTCATAGATGGTGGTGCCGAACAAAACTGGCTCCTGCGAAACGACGCCTATTTGCGCCCGCAACCACTTGACGTTAACTAGTTTAATGTCCACGTCGTCGAGCAGAATCTAAGCAGAGCAAATAAATTTGTCTGTAATCTTCTTTGCGCATTTCTAACAAATGTTTTTTACTTCGCCGTGATTAGGATCGTAAAATCTCTGTAGGAGGGAGACGATCGTGCTCTTTCCAGCGCCACTCGAGCCGACCAACGCAACTCTGTTTCCAGGTTCTATCACCACATTGAAGTCTTTTAAAACCTACAGAAACGAGATTTTTTCCACAAATTCAATAATTGATTTTCCAAATAAAAAACCTGAACTTCCGGTCTGGTTGGATATGCAAATGAAACAAACTGGAACTCAATCTTGCCCCTGATGTGTTTTGGTCTATGGCCCATGGGGCTTAGCACATCAATGTCCGGTGTCCTGTCCACAATTCCAAAAATTGTGGATGCAGCACCGATGGCTGTGCTGACGGCGTTGACAAAGGGCAAAGCGTTGCCCAGCGAAAAAGCGCCGGCCATCACGCTGAAAAACACCTTTAAGGAAAAGTTAAAATTAATGTTAGCCTTAAAAATTGCCAATTTAAAATCAAGAATAAGAATAATTTCTTAAAAATTTATTTGTTTAGCCAAAGTTTTATAAAAAAAGAGTGACAAAATAAATTGTGAAGAGCTCCATATATTTTTTGTAAAGTTTTTCTTAGGTTTTGTTTATATTAATATATGCATAGCGTAATTAAGCCCTAATGAATTAAATTCATTAGTAGGCAGGTGAAGCACCACCCCGCAATTAGATATGCAAATCATGTCATTACCGTGAAAACGCTGCCAGGAGTGCAAAGACCCTCACCGATGAGTCGCGAGCCGACCCAGAAGGCGAGACCGTAGGCGCCGTAGGTGATGAAGAAGACCACAGCCATGCCAACCGCCAGCACGTAGTATTTTTTCATCGCGATCCACCGGCCTTCTTCTAGAGCCTCTTTATAGCTGAAGCAGACAACTTTATTACTCGCGTCTGTCTAAAATCTCAAGACGAGAGATTTAGATTTTACCACTTTTTAGCCTTTTTAATTAAATTTTTATTCCTTCAAATTGACGCAAATTTAACATTGATAAATCTCACCGCTCAACTTCTTTCGCCTGCCCTCCAAAAGCTGCCACCGTCCGAATACTGTACAAAACCTCCTCTGCTATGCCACCCGCAATTCCATATTTTAATTGCTCTCTTGCTGCCGATGAAGCGGCGATCTATTTATAAATTTCAAGATAAATTAGTATTTCAAAAAATTTCCATTTTTTAACCTTTGCCATATAGCCTGAGGTCCCAATCAAAACCGGTGACACTGATAGGATCACCAGAGTGAGTCTCCAGTTGACGAAAATTCCCACGAGCAGGCCCGCGATGAAGGTGGAGACGTACTGCACGACCATTGAAAATTTACTGCCCAGACCCTCTCGTATTCGCTCCATGTCACTGAAATAATTGATCGTTCACTCTGCGAACAATTGATCGCGCCAAAAACTCACTCGGACAGCTTGTTAGTCAAGTCGCCGGACTGATTTCTGTCGAACCAAGTGATGTCTTGGCGCAGAATTTGTGCAAAAAATAACTGACGTAATCTGTAGACCTGCCGCTCACAAGCCAACTCCCAGCACAGCGTCTTCGGAATAAAAATAAACGAAATCAATTTCATGATTTATTATTTCATTTAAAGAAAGGCAACCTGCATGAATGCCGCAACCAGCACGCCCAGGCCAATGAAAACATAGTATAAGGCGAATATTGACATGTAAGCGGTGAATTCTTCTGGAGTCAGTGCATGGCTCTTCCAAGATTGCGGATCACTAATTTATTCAGTTGAAAAATAGAAATTCAAAAGATCAATAAATAAATAAATAAAGCCAAATAAATATTAATATAAAAAAAGAAATATAAAGTATTATTTAATAAAAATTGCTGTACCTGCTGCTATTCATTTGGAGGATCTTTTCCATTTGTGGGAAAATGTTTGTTCCCAAGAGAAAATTTGGCTGCGTCAAATTAGAATTTAGTGAGTGTGTTCCTCCAGAACTGTTGTCTACAAAACCCTGGGATTTCTAAATTTAGTAAAATTCTTCACGATTTCCGCATTTTAAAATTTACATGTGTTGCTTGGAGGATGAATGTGTTAGTCATTTGGCCGAAAACTAGCGCTAGAATTGGAAAACTTGAACCATGTATCACAGCGAAGAAAAGTCCCACGGACATTATTATGATATCTGCTCTGCTTGCACATCTGAACTAATTGATACAGACAGAAAATGTCAATTATTATTTTCAAACGCAAAAACAAAATCGTTTAAAACAAAAAAATTTTTTAACATAATTCCCCTCGGTCGGTTAGGAATGAGATCTTTCATCAGATTGAGTAAACAACGGAAGGGGATCAGAGATAAAATATGTGGCGTCAATTGAATGTCAATAGCACCGCTAATAAACAAGTTCTGTTATTCTTAAATTGTAAATTTTTCAAAAATGTTCTGAAAAGTAATAAAAATAATAGTTACTCACTAGGCCCAAAATTCCTGATTTGCCTTGCGCTGGGTCCTCACCAGTGTCCCTTTTTCTTTTTCTCCTGTAACACATTAGAAAATAGTCACGATGTTTTAATCGGTTGAGAGTTTGTCGACAGAAATTATATCAAAAAGCAAGAGAAAAGTACTGTTGGAAATATGGAGTGCCGCCGTAATGGGCATTTTCCAGAGAATCAGCTTTGAAAATGAGTGGAAGCTTTTCGTCGCGACCCATCTTTGGTGAGAATTAGATGCTCACTGATTCACAGAATAAATGTTATTGGTTTAATATATCAGTTGCGGGTGAGTGTGATGTCGATGTGAGAAAGTAAACATTATATTTCCCCTGTTTAAAATAAACAAACAAGCATTGTTGAACAAATGAGATTGAGAAGAGTGGCATATTATATAACAAAATGCTACCACAATAAAACCAAATTATAAATTTTTCCTCCTTCGAAACATTGCCGACAAAAATATAAAATTTTAAATATCATAAAATTTTCTAATGTTTACTTATTTCATGATAATAATAATGAGTGATAATTTGAAACATTTTTTTACGACAAAAAGAGATTAACGAGGCGAATCGTTAAATGAAAATTTTAAGGGTGATCTTTTTAGTGAAGACGGTGTCTAATAATACAAAATTTGGCTGCTCTGCTTCCAGTCTGTCACTGGAGTGGGTTATTTTTATCAATGACTAGGCTCAACCTTGGGCTCCTCGTGCAGTAACAAATCAACTCTCTGCAGTACACAGTGATCCGGTCATCATATAGTGTACTTGTACATTTTAAATTAAGATATAACTAAATGTTTATGAAAGAGTTCAATGATACTGTTTTGACTGAGCAAGCCGTTGGTTTTTTTTCTTGGATGGCTTGGAAACTTCATCCCATGGCCATGGCTTACGCGCTTCATGAATTGGCCGTAAACCCAGACATACAAGCAAAATTACGTGAAGAGCTTAGCAATTGTTTGGGACGAGATGTCAGCACAATTAATTACGATAGTCTTAGATCATGCACTCATCTTGATCACGCACTAGATGGTACAGTATTATCAATATTATTAAAATATTACAAAAATAAATATTAATTTAGATTTTTTAAGAACAATAACAAGTACAAAATAAAATTATGTTTTTTTTTATGATAGAAGCTTTGAGATACTCCTTCTGGAATTCTCTCCCGGACTTGCATAAAACCTTAATTAACACTCTTCCTGACTCTAACGTCAGGATTGAGGTCGGTGATCTGGTCAGCATCCCTGTCTACGCATCGCACTTCGACCTACGACCCAAAATATTATTCCAATCCAGAGGTTTTTGACCCTGATAGATTCACACTGACGAGGCGAAGTCGCACTGCCTTTTGGAGAGGGCCCGAGACAATTTGTAAACAAATTTAATTTTGAAGCTATTTATTATTTAATCAAACAGAGGTTTTAAATTCGCCCACGCGCAAGTCATGGCTGCCTTGACCACTATAATTCTCAACTTTGAGTTCTTCCATCTCAGAAAACAGTCCATCCAGTTGAGTTCAACGAAAGAAGTTTTCTACTTCACGCCAAAAACGCTCTTCATAAAAATTTAAAAACTATTTAATATAATATAATTAAAAATTAATGAATAAAAAAGTATTAAAAATGTTTGAGAAAAATCATATAAATTCGCAATAGTAAAATTAATGACCATCATTGTGTGATAGGATTATAAATTAATACACTCATTTCACTGCCAACAATTTAGCATGTAAATTAGTGCCCATTTGTAGTGGACGTCAATTTGGATGTTAACTGCATACAAAATTAAAGGAGCTAATAAAATTTAAATATTTACGATCAGGTTGCATAAGTAGTAACTTTTACTTGATACAAATAATTATAAATCAAAATTGAATAGAAAAGTCGATATGAATAATAAAATATTTATTAATTGATTTCATAATAATTATGTTATTCTTATCACACCTATTAAATAAGGTAAAAAAAAACAGCATTTCACATATATAAAAATGAAATTTTCAGTTCGATTTTAATCCACTTTTATGTCTATCTGACGTCTATAATCTTTTCAAAAATTAGAATGTATAAGATAAGATACGGACTTAAAAGATTTACTTTTGGCGCATCAATTCAGTTTCTGACCTTGGGACAAATGCAAGCTTACAAAAAGGACTCCCACCACGCCAAATTAAGCCCCAGCGTCGCTTCCTCCGCGCCTAATATCAACAGACCGCCGCTTAAAATATTATCTCTGGAGTGCAGTCATTCTCAGTTTTAGCCCAGCTTTAGTTCTGCGCGCCTCGAAAAATGGGCCTCTTGCTTGCGGACACCGTCCTGGCTGACACGGCCCTGCTCCTGCTGACGGCCCTTTATCTTATATACTGGTATGGAACCAGTACGTTTGACTACTGGAAGAAAAAAGGTGTGCCGGAGCTTGAGACCAAGGTGCCCTTTTTCGGCGCCGCCTTGGACTCGATGTTGTTCAGAAAGCAGATGAGTTTGCACTCGCAAGAGATGTACAATGAGCTGGACGGGAACAAGTACGGAGGATTCTTTAGCATGCGAAAACCGACACTAATGGTGCGTGACCCTGAACTCCTCAAGCAGATCATGGTCAAGGATTTCTCTAGCTTCACTGATAACTTCATACAAGTCAATGCTAAAAATGATCCTATGTTTGGTAATTATATTTAATTAATTTATTCTTTTGTTATTATAATCTTGATACACAGACACATAATTAAATTAATATTTAATAAAAATAATTTTTAATTTAAAATTGCGATTGTATACAAAACAAAGTTCAATGTTATTTAAAATTTCAATAAATTATTTTAAATATTAATAACTGTAAGTAAATTCATAATAAACCATCAGCTTTTGTGAATTTTAAAAAAGAAAAAAAATTATAATTTTCTTTGTGCAATAAAAAAAGTTTATTGTAATTTGTATTATATTCTTTTTTCAGCCTACAATATATTTTCAATGAGGGGTGAGCAGTGGAAGTACGCTCGTTCCAAACTAGCGCCTGCTTTTGCGACAGGAAAAATTCGCAACGTGTTCCCACTAATTTTGGAAATCTGCAACGACTTAAAAAATCATCTTCAACGCAAAATTGATTCTGACAATTGTGAATTTGAGGCGCACGGATTGTCAAAAGACTATACTACTGACGTAGTCGGAAGTTGCGCTTTTGGAATCCACTGCAACTCTCTCACTAATTCAGATAATGATTTCCGCAAAATGGGCAAAGAAATCATGAGCCCATCTACATTGCGCCGACAAATCGAACTGACCATTGCGTTCTCCTTTCCTTCGCTGGCCAGTGCCTTGGGAATGAAATTTGTTGCCCAGTTCGTGGAGGATTTCTTCAGGGATTTGATTTTGAAAGCATTTGCATACAGGGAAAAGCACCCTGAGTTCAAACGAAACGATTTCATAAATCTGCTTATGCAACTTAAAAAATTGGGAGAGGTTGAACAGGATGAGCACGATAAGAAGGAAATTAACGGAATGTTGGAAAAAAATTTGAGCGATAAAGGAAAAATTGGTAAATAAAGAAATTAAATTATCACATAGGATTATACAGAAAAAATTTTTTTAGATTTCAATGATACGGTGCTAACTGCCCAGGCAGTTGGATTTTTCATTGATGGTTTCGAAACGTCATCCCTGGCTTTGGCTTTCACCCTGCATGAACTGGCCATGAATCAAGACATTCAAACAAAACTGAGAGAGGAACTTCAAAAGTGTTTTGAATCGTCTGATGGAAAAATCGATTATGACAATATCAGAGGATGCACATACTTGGAAAACGTTATGCATGGTAACCATAGAAATTAATTGAATATTTAAAAAAAAATTAATTAGAGCATTTTCAATAATTAGGCTACTTTAAAAAGAAATTTAAAAAATTTTTAAAATAATTTTTTGCTAGAAACGTTGCGAATTTATTCTCCCGCCGGTATGCTGACACGCATGTGTACAAAGCGCTACAAAATCCCAGACTCGGACGTCCACCTTGACGTCGGTGATGTGGTCACAATACCAGTGTACGCGCTTCACCACGACCCCAAATATTTCCCCGACCCGGAAGTGTTCGACCCTGACCGATTCACGGAAGAGGCGAAAAAGACGCGGCCGGCGTTTTCATACCTTCCCTTCGGCGAAGGCCCCAGACAGTGCATCGGTAAGTAATTTGCCACAAATTGCTCAATTTGCCTCCATATAATATGCGCTGCAGGCTTTCGGTTCGCCCAGGCCCAAGTAAAAGCCGCCCTGGCCACCATTGTTCTCAACTTCAAAGTGGAGCAGTCGGAAAAGACGATTCACCCTGTCGTGTTCGACGAGAAGAATTTCTTGCTCCACGCAAAGAATGGCCTTCACTTGAAAATTTCTCCCCTGTAAATTTAAAATTTAACGAAGGTAATTTACTAGCTAAACCTAATTCTTACAATTTTAATATTTTAAAAGTAAATTTAATAGTGCTTAGTGATGCAGCCCACGGTGCGATTCTTGTGAATAAAATCACCATTACAATCAATAAATCCTCAACTCGCCCATTTCAATCGTTCGTATCTCATTAAAAAACACGCGGCATCTAATGCATGTTAAATCAAGCAGCTCATATAGGCCTAATAAAAATGCGCGCCTTTCTCTCCTGCATATTAAAATTCGTTGAAGCTTTTTCACCGGAGCCATAATTCTCGGGTAGTGACAAGAAAACCCGTAAGCTGATTATTATACTCCTAGCTTGTTCCTCTATCCTAGGCACTTATAAAACGAATTCAACGCCAACACCTGCCTAGATTACTTTGTGAAGTGACGAAAGAATTAAAGCGCTACTTCTCCATCAAGTTTGCGATTTATTCCAAACCGAATCACGCGAATATTTTTCTTGATTGAGTTTCCGTGTTGTTTCGTGGCAGAGATAAATAAACAAGCTTTACATGCATGGCGTGATATTCAATGATTGAGCAAAACGTTTTTCATTTCCCTCTAACTAAATCGTAACAAATAATGAGAATTATTTTTATTAAAAGTTTGCTCTCCACTCACCGGCATTCCTCGTACTGGTTGCTGCTCGGCTTGATGGAATTGTTTTCCCGTGAGTTGAAACCCGAGTCTGCGAAGTGGAGATGTTCAGACTCGGTGTCCGTTGTGCAGAGATTTGACTCCATCATGAGCACCGACTCCGCTTTGGCGAACGTCAAGAGTCCTTCTTGGTGATGCGTGTTGCCACCAAAGCCGTGCCTCTGCAATTTCATCACAAAAAGCTTTTGAGCTTAAAACTCTAATAACATGCAAACAACAAGAAGAAAACTAGCAAAAAGGCTAAATAATTAAATAAAAAAGTATTTCATTGTAAAGACGCAAAATTTTGGAGCTTAAAATTTGACTGATAAGAAACATTTATAAAGATAATAACATTCAGTTAAAATGATTTCAAAAAAAAAAAAAAAAAAAAAAATATACGTCTGTAAAATGCAGAAAAATTAATATTTTTTAATTGAAAATAACGTCAAATGATTTAGAGTCGAAAAGAAAAATCTCATTAAAATGCACAAGCGCAATTTATCTATGTAGCTCTTCTCTCATCATATCAGTTTAATTGGCCATAAATTAAAGAAATTTATATCAGCTCACGTGCAATCATCAATTTACATAGTTTTGATAAATAGGGAACCACAAATCAAGACATTTTAAATAATGACCCTTATTAGGCAGACCTCTCATCTGGAATTTCTTTCGAAACCAAAGGAAGTAATCTATAACCGCGATGCCGCTGCTGCTTGAGGAGCAACTCGATACACAAGTCCCACTCCAAACGATCGCATCTGTCCGATATAAAAAGCATGGTTTTCAGTAGTGCTGTTTATTCTTTGCTTGCTCCGGTTTAAAAACATAAAGAGATACGACAAAGCACTCAAAAAAGCTTTCCTATTGTTTCTAGGACGTAATAAAAAACCTTTTGTTTGCAGCAATTTGCGAGATTTTATGTTGGCGTGTCGAGTGGTCGCCATAAATGGCCAGGGCCGAGTAAATCGCTGGTGTCCAGTAGCTCAAGTATAGATAACAAAAAGCTCCTCTGTGGTCCAGGGCATTGATTGGTGTGGTCAATTAAATGATAATAATATAAAAGCTCAGCGCATTAACAAAGATGTGGAGAGCGATTAATTATATACGAGCGGTTTTACTGCTTTAATGAACCCTTTAAATGCAGGCCTGCGAGAAAACGAATATATAAAATAAATCGGCTAGACGAAAACTGCCGCGTCGCCGCCGCACTCGGGAACCCACGCAAAACCAAACTGGCAGCCGAATGTAAAATAACAGCAAGATAGACACACCGCGCCGAGAAGATCAACAACCGTGTAGCAGCACTGGTTTTATATTTTCTACGAGCGACTAGAATGTCGTGGGACTTTTATTATTGAGGCAGCGGACGGGTAGTGGAAATTGGCATAATCTCTCATTCGATTTTGTCCTCTCGCAACACCCAATATACGCAATTTGTTTCGCGGCTGGGGGGAATAATACCCGTTTGTTGAATTATTCTCTTATCAGGCCGCCTCTGGATTTATGTGCGAAACGTTCCAAGACGCGCATGCCAGCAGGCAGGAAATATAAATTTGTGTGACAATCGGAATGGGCTGTTCGAAGACGACAGGATTTGCCAATTAAGGAGATAAATTGTAAATTTATTTTTTTTTTCGAAGAAAAAAATAGTTAAAAAATCACAATTCAATTCATTTCAAAACTTGAAAATTTTATGCTACAATTTTAATGGAAATTTAAATAATTGAATATTTTAAAAGTATACAACTGGAACACGTACGTTTCTTTCATAGATCTCATGTTAATCGTAACGCCAATTTTTTTATTTTGATTGTATCTCACTTTTCTTTATAGCTACTGGTCATTGCTACAAATTTTAACTAACCTTTTCATCCTTGAGGATCATGTCGCTTTTATTGTTGTATTATCTTGTAAAGCATTGTCAAAATATTAAGCTCCAGATTTTACAATAAACTCTATATGGCAAAATGACCCTCTAAAATCTGTGTATTAAAAATTCATGAATAAAAATAAAGGTCAATGCGGAGCTTTGTAGTTTTGCCTTCACGCAAATTACTACACCTGTATATAAAAAAGCACCTATACCCGTCACGGTGCGAGCAACAACGGTGGCCATAAATTCGCCAAACAATAATTCATAAATCAACGAGCACGTATCCGAGGAAAGCCAAGAGAATTTGGGTTTTCATGCGTGGCCCATATAAAATCAAAAGGAACTAAAAAAATTTTCCCTTATCTCTTTTCAGGTAAGTCTTCTTAGAATTAAACCAATCGCCAGAAGTTTCAGAGCGGTTCTCCGAAAAAAATTTTGATTACAAAGCAGGCGTTTGGCCGAAAAATTGTGTTTAATACTTCTCGGAGCAACAAACGCCCAAATGAACCAATTAACAGGTTTTAAAGGAGGCACTAATTTTCTGTTATGTATAATTTACAAGCCGGCAGCACAAACTGAGAGGGTTCGGAACGCGTGAGTGTGTGTAAAATGGTCTTGCGCGCGGCACTCACCTTTGTATTGAACATTAGAGACTAGAAGAGAGAAACGACTCTAGATAAAGTGGCTTTCCCTATTCTGGCGAATGATATAAACGCTTCTCAAATAAAAGCGCCTATTTTTCTGGCGAGCCCACGCCACTCCGAGAGAAGAAACCCGCACGCCGGCCACAATAACAGTTCAGATAAATTGCTTTAAATAATTCACGTGCAAAAAATATCCGATGTGTTTGAATAGGTGGCTTATCACGGGGCCGGTTTTGTGTATCGCTCTAATGTGTGCAAATTAAATATAAGCCTGTGCTTTCATAAATTTTCGAGTCACCGAAAGAGAAAGAGTCGAAAACATTTTGGCTTACGTTGATGGCGAATAAAAAAGAAGTGTCTACTAGGACATAAAATATTGAGCACCGCAAATATTCGACCCCCTGGCTCTCTCATCGTGCGAACTCTTCTATTTCTGCCAGAGTACCAGACGTTTAAAAAACGTGCAAAAGCGTTTCCTTCTTATGTAAAGAGAGATTTATTACAACTCGCAAATTATACGCTCATTGTTGAGTGCAAGCCGAAAAAGGATTATCGTTTGTCAAATTTGGCTCACGTCTGCGTCTTGATGTGATTGTTCTCGTCATGAACAAGTTGTTTGCAGGTTGAGCGGAGGAAGGACCACCCTGAAAAGGGGCCTGAGAGAAGACTCGAGGATTATATTTGTATGCCGGGGCAGAGCAACTTTGGCGAAATTTGCTGCTTTTCAAGCTTTGTAAGTGTTGCTGCTGCTGCGTGCTGATCTTGATTTCTGGCCAAAAATAGCCACCCACTAATTTTACTTTACTGCGTGAGAATCTACAAGTCGATCGTCAACGGTCCTCTTTCTTTCGCCACGTCTGTCTCGCCCTAATATTCGGATTAATGCAGACCTCATTATTGTCGCGAATGAAGTGGGAAAGAAAAGAGGAGCTTTTGAAGGCCTGAAAGACCAGCTGTGTTTGTTCAGATCAACCTGATATGCAAATTAATTGTTTCTCATGAGCATAGCCACGACTTACGATAACATCTTGTTTTGTCAATCTAAAGTAAAATTGAGTTGTTCACTTTTAATGATGGGTTGCTTGAAAAATAAAATTAATGAAATTAATATCAAACGTGCTCATTTAGGTAATCAATAAAGACTTCAAAAAAGTTGAATAATCTGCAAAAAATTATTTAAATTCAACTGACATTTCTCTTAAAACAAGGTAAGAATTAGCTTCAATAAATATGTTGATAACAGATTAATTTGAAAAGTAAAAAATAGTTTCTATACTATAGTCTTGACATTGATTTAAATGCAGAAAAGCTAATAATTAGATATGGTTAGGAGAAAGAATTGTTAAATAATTTATCATATGAATTTACACTTTAATTTGTTTCATATACTCGCAGTTTTCATTGAAAAAGGTTAACATTAACATAAATTAGTGAAGCAGAGAGTCCTACCACCTTTATTATTTTAAATGGTGATGAAGAAAGTAGACATTTAGTTCCAATAGAAATAAAAAAAAACCAAACATTTGAAATCCAACCTCTGTCCTTAAAACATCTATCCCTGATGCTAATCAAACAAACGCCGCAGCCGAAAACACTTCAAAGATGAATCACGCTGACCGAGGCGTCTGAGGAACACGAGTGCTGCGTTTTCGTTCCGTTGAACAATAAAAAATGTGCCTCGGCCCGTCATAAAACTTAATGTAAAACAGAGCTGAGATAAAGAGCGACCCCTCCGAAAGTGCATTAACAGAATCAATAAGAGAAGCGTCTTACCTGCTGCCGACTTGTGTCAGGTTGCATCTCGTCTGCTCTCTTCTTTTCTCACCTCGATCTGACGAGCAGGCTGGTTGAGCGAGGACTATGCCAATGAATCGGCCTGCCCATGAATGACCCTCCGGCCCCAACCACCACCACCACTCACTACCACCACGGATGCTCTATGGTCGCGAGCGCGCGTTCCACTCGGTTTTTTGTTTTGTTAGTAATTTATTTTTTATTCGCTCTCGCACAAGAGGTGGGCCCTAATAAAAGCAACGTGAGCGCGCACGCCAGTCGCACTCGGGTTTGTTTTGACAATCAGAGCCGGTTTCCATTAAGGATTGTGGATTTGGACTCGCTCAGTTGTAATTTGAATAAAAAAATCGAAAGCATTTCTGACTCGCAGTTTAAGCAATTGAATATTTAAATTTTGGAAGAAAAAAATCAGGTTTGAAGGAAATACCAAAATTTGTTATCCTTTCAAAGAAGAAAGGCAGTTTAAAAAAAGTTATTTCCCTGACTAATTTAAAAGCAAATTAAGAAGATGTATATGTTTAAAAAAAAACAAGCAAATTGATCGTTTTAGGACGAAATTTAAATTTGCCAGCGATCACATTCCACGAGCCGCGAAAACAATTTGGCGAAAATAGCTGAAACAGGAGGGAATCAACAACCTCCCGTGAGAATGATAAATTATGAATACAAGGAAAAGGAAACTCCCCCGTCGTCTCTGCGGCCGTCTATTTTTGCGTGCTGAAAAATGTTTTTACCTGAATTAATGTTCGCGATCTGCGCCGAGTGCTTTTTATAGTTTTTATTGTGAGCAATTCATTGCGCCCCTGCATGACGGATGGATTGTGTTTTACGGCTTTTTTCGAGGACCGCTCTCAGAAAAAAGGCGCCGCCGCGGCTGAAAAACAATTTCCTTTCCGTCTCATTTTAATAATTCTCAATGACAGCCGCATGAATTTTAATGGCAAAGGGCGGGTATTGTTTTCATTTTCGTTAGGCCCGTAACGGCGTTGAAAGGGTTTTCTCTTTTATTCTTTGCCGTTTCCATTCTGTGCAATTAATTTTTGTTTCAAAATTTGGAACGACAGCGGTCAAGAGTCTCGGCCTGTGGCGCTTTTGCTAACCACATTCTTGACACCGACTTTATGGATTATGCAAGATCAAAGTGTAAAAAAGTCGATTTGTTTTCGTGAAGCGAAATATGCTGAAAATGATTGATGTGGGGAAATTTGATCTTGTGCGCGGTAAGTTGGAAATGTTTGTCTGCGTAGGGGTTTCCCTGCCGCGCAAGAGTTATACCACAATAAAACACATATTAAATAAATTCCTAAACAGCCGCTTAAAATAAATTAATTTCTTTAAAACTTAAGTTACAATTTACTGAATCTAAACAAATTATGCATTCAAGCTACAATAAATTGGGGCAATAATTAATGCTCAAATATTTTGGACCAAAATTTAATAATTAATTCGCTTTTATTGACCCACAAGAATATAAGTTAATTTTAAACATTAAATTATTTGCGCCTTTTTTAAATTTTCATCAAACATCTAACTATTTATACTTTTGTGACAAAACTAATTTGATTGTACACCTTTTTGCAACACCAAATCAACTATATTTCATTTTAAACTTTCTCTAACACTCATTGGCATCATTAAACGTCCAACCGTCTCTTTGAATTTTTGTTAGTTCAAGGAAAATGATTTTCCACGATAGTCACCGCGCAGTCTTCGTTTGTACCGTTGAAGTCGCGCCCTGCCAGACGTCATTGAACGTTGCGTCTGTTGAACAAGTAGCGCATGATCCCGTCAGTGATTGGGTCGTACTCGGTCGTGTACGGCAAAGGGTCCAGTTGCAGGTCCTTGATGTGCTCAATGAAGTTTTCTTTGTAATCCTTCAGATCGCACCTTCGCGGCCCCACGACGTACTTCTTGCCCTCGATCAGAAAGAGAGCGTCGTCCGCGGCCAACGACAAAAGAGACTGAGTGACCATGTCTGGCACGACAGAGTGGCCGAGAATGATGACGTTGAAGGTGCCACGGAATTTGCTGCTCGGCCTGTCTTCGTCTAAAGTGGTCGGAGACAAAAATACTACCTCCATGTCATCCACAATCAGGGAGCTGTACTCCTCCCTGGCAGGAGACCGAAAGTAGCCCGAGTCCTCTCGACTGATGGATCGCGCCGAGCTCATCCTGGACGGCGTCGGCGACGTCATGTAAACGGCACCCCAGTCATCAACGAAGCCATCTTCAAAATCGTACGACTTTTTGAATGACAGCTCGTACATGAGTCTGGTGACGTTGTGCTCCGAAACTTCAGTGGCGGTTCGCACAAACTTGTTGTTGCACTTTTTCAGCATTTCCGGATCTTCGCAGTCGACGCCGAAGCTGATGAAGGGCCCCGTGAGCATGTCGCCTGAAAACTGGGTCGGCCGCTGGTTTGGTTCGCTGACGACCCCGGTGGCCATTGTCAAATTGACGTCGGTGCACTCGGCTGAATTCATCCACCTGAAGGCCACCCCCGTTTGTCTCCAGTTCAAATATTCCTAAAATCAAGCATCACAAAATATATTGGTTAAATTATTATTTTCTTCTCCATAAATTGTAAACAGATAAATTAAAAGATTTTTTATTTAATATATAAGAAATATATCCTAATTAATTCAAATAATTCGGAATATAAAAATTAAAAATTAAATTTGTTAAAAATTTAATGACATAGACGTACACAGTACACATGATTTAATGTGAACAAACAAACAACAATAATTTATCATCAACTTTTTAAGAAAATTGAAAAAAAAACGTGGGCCTCTTGCTGCGATCAGCGTAAGATCAATCAAGAATAGCGTGTGGCGTATTCGAACTATAAAATGCACGAGAAGCGCTTTTTTTCTCGTGGGAGTCAGTAACGTACACATATTTTTCTGTGCTATAGTAGTTCAGAGAAAAACTAAAAACTCCGTAAAAGTCAACATGCAAGAATGCAAGTCTCGCGAGTAGCGAAGTTTTTTTTTATAATTTCCGGTTATTTATGAACAAATTTCAAATTCCATACCTGATGGGTGACTGGCAGGCCGTGCTCGGCGCTGTAGCTCAGCTTCATGTGGTAGTCCCAGTCGAAAACGTTGTCCCGCGAATCGTACCTTTGCCCGAGGTGCGCCCTGAGCCTGAGGTCCCACAGTTTGGTGATGTCAAAGTAGTCGATGGTGCTGTTTTTCCAGAACTTGTACGTCGCCTCCATGCAGTCCTTCTCTTTGTACTTTAAATTCTCCAACGACACCATGGGCAGTCTGTTTTTCAAGTAAATGTGGTCGGTCACCATGTAGATGAGCTGGCTGGCCTTTTGCCGAATGTACTGCTGCGTGTTGGGCCGCACCAGGGTGTTGCCGTGGATCTCCAGGAACATCCGCGCCTTCTGCAGCGGGTTCAGCACGTCGGCCGGCTCTAGAGCCAAATTCAGCAGCAAAAGTTGGCGCGCCGTCGCTTCCAGCGAGGACTCGAGGACGTGCATGTTGAGGTGCCGGTTTGATCGGTGGCGGTAGGACTGGGCGATTGTGCGGAGCACGTGGCGCAAATCGCCAACGCCGACGAGGAGAACGTTGACCGTCGCGGCTTTCTGGATGCTGGGAGGACAGTTGTCAAGTTCATCTTGAATGTCAAAGGACGGACTGAAGCCCCACATCATGCCTGATTTAAATTCATTTTAGTCAGCAAGACTGAACAAAGATTAAAAATATATTTATGTGACAAGTAAAGGAATTATTACACATGCACTATTATTAAAAATTTAAATTTATTTTAACAAGATGTTTTTTACAATTTTCGCCGTCATCAATTTTTTTTATTTTGCAAAAAGAAAAAAGGAACAAACCAATTTTTGCCTTTTAATGATTTGAAATAAAATCAAAGAGTACAATTTGTATAATAAATTGCTGCACAAAATTAAAGAAAGCAATTAATTGAAAAAGTATAATTTTCAATTAAACCAACAAATATCCCTTTTTAGTTTTAAAATTTGCACAGATACATTTTAAATTCATTTTTTCGCCATCCCAAAGTGGAGGAATATCACGTAGGCGGGCGTGTTATGCAGCAACAACTCCCAAATTTCAACAACCGCCGCGTGCGTGGGCCTCCTTCCACTCGGCGCAACCCTGTGCCCAAGCATTTCGCTAATTATTTAACTGCCATAGGGATGACGTGACCCTCTTATCTCTTACTTTTACAGCCCCCAATTAAAATAGCAAAAGAATTAAATAATAGCGTGCGCATGAGAATGACACAGAGCCCGCGAGAGCGCGAATCAGAGGCGCATGCAAAAGCCTGGTCCGCCGCTTTCAACGCTGGGCGCAGCATAAATTACGGTGCAATTGAACTTACTTGTCAGAGCAAGCACATCAAACGCGCCGGTGAGCAAGTGTTAACGATGAATGCCGATCGAGTTGCAGATAACATACGTGATATAGATTTGGATTAAGGGGCCTGTGTAAAATTGCACGGAGCTTGTCAACAACTTGACGTTGCTATGGATTCTTTCCAACAAATTCGTTCCTTTTTATTGCACTTCCAAGCCAGACAGGCGAACTGTGCGAGGCTGCCCGTCATATGTGAAAATCTATATTTTGCGTATTTATTGTACTGTCATAACATTTTGTCATATTTATTATAAAAAAAGGCGAAAAAAATATGCCACAGAGATCTCTTTTTTGAACATTTTTTTTCATTAAATTTGCTATTAATAAATATCAATTTCTTTAAATTTTAATACATCATCACATCATGATATTACGAAAAAATATTGTAATTAACGATAGAAAAATTGTATGTTTTAAGGAAAAAATAGTATTCCCAATTAAATCAATTTTATTTATCAAGTAGACGACGTAATTTTATAATTTACAGCCCACAAAAATAGATAAATTGATGCAATAATGATTATCTTTTCTTATCGGTTAATTCAAATTTTTTGGAAATATTTTATGGATTTTATAAGTAATGTTTTATTTTAAGATAACATTTTCCCATATAAAAAGGGAAAATGAGGGCGCCATAACATTTTTTTTGCAGCTGCCAGCTGCAATTTTGTCTATAAATAAATTTTGTATTTCCACAAGTATCACCTTACTACCTTTCAGCACACACTACTTGACTAGTTTGCATGTAGTCAGTCACGTAGCACTCCATTTGAAGTATATCTGAACAATTTTTGGTTTTTCCAAATATAGTTGTGCTAACATATCAAAACAGTCGCAACGACAGGAAGTAAAGCGTAATTATTTTTAATTTAGGGCAAAACAGGGCAAAAAGGAGACAAATTTTTAGATAAGTTTCTTTGCCATTAGAACCATAGATTGGTTTCTTCCAGTAAAATTGCTGTATGGGATTCCTCTATAGACAAATTCATGCATGGGTATGTCAATTAGTTCATCCCACTGAAGACGACGGCCGATTTTCTGCGACTCCACGGAAGTAAAAATTGCCGTGACAATCGGGAGGCCGCGCTGTTTTGCAACAACGGAGGTTGCTTCGGTCAATAGTTGTCCGATGCCCAAACCTCGATGGCGCTTACAAACTCCAAGAAACATGAGCTCCAGAGATTTCCGAACACCGTAATGTTCAAACGCATCTTTTTTAGAATCCGCCTGAATAGTAAATTATTTATTTGTTAAAATTAGCTAAAATTTTATTATTTTATTTTTAAAATATTCCCAAAAATTAAAAAATAAATAAAAAAATAAAAAATAAAGGCTGTACTTACAATTATCATGTTGTTGACATACTCCTTGGCCGAGTCAGTCTTGCATTTAAAATCCCTGAATTCTTCAAAGTAACCTAGGTCCCCAGATTTTGGTTTCAGCTGGACTTTGTTGAAAGAGGCGCCAACCACTTTGTTCTGGAAAATGGCAATCATAGAAGTGCCGTCCTCAAAGGTCTCGATGGTGAGACGCTCCAGCTCATCGATGCTTTCAGGACATTTCTACAAAAAAAGCAAATAAATGGAAACTTTAATTAGGACATCTAATTTGCGGTGTTTTTATTATTACATGCAATTCGATTCCAACGGCTGCTGACTCGTCAGGATAATATGACTCCCTCATCATTGCAAGGGTTTCTTGCAGTCTTGATTCCGTCATGCTGATAACTTCAACTCCCTTGTCATTTCTCAACCACACATTGGGAGCTTCCATGGTCAACAGACTGAAACATTAATTTTTAATACAATTGAAAAAAAATTTATATCTCTATAATTAATTTCATTTTAGTAGCTATTAAAAAGATACCACTTCCACTGCGTAATAAATTATGGAAATTGATTTAATTGTTAATTTTATTTGATTCAAATTTTATGAAGTTTTTGTTGTTGGTGAATTTGATTGATTCGACCAACAGATCAACACTATAGATTTTAAAATATTTATTTTTTCATACTTTTTTAATATAGACAAAATAATCTTTGTGGTTCTGATCAGTTCTGATTAGATATTAAAAATGAAAGAAGGAGGAAAAAAAGTGAAATATAACGTAAGTCTGCCTGTATTCCTACTAGTTTGTTTAGAAAAGGAATGTAAGAGAATACAAGACGTCCCTCAACTATGTAATATTATAATACACTGCTTGCAAAATGGCCTTCTTTAAAAATAACGTTTGCGATTCGCACACCAATGCCAATGTGTGAATCACTACTTTAAGCATATCAGTGTGAACGACCTTGCGCACCACGTGAACACCTGATGAATTGAAAATCAACATAACGGCAACCTATCAGCAGACGTTGCTTACAAGTCAGGGCAAATTCTTTCTTTATCTCAATTACAACCAACTTCATTCAAGCATGCAAGAACAAAATGAAAATTAAAAAATAAATGTGTACCAGCAAGTAAAATGCACAAGTTTCATTTTTAATAAATATATATTTCTCCCACTCTCCAATTTACAGGAATTTACGAAAAATAGAGGCTGTCTTAATTTAAGTACAACAGGCACTTTTAAAGTTTGAAAATTAACCCCAAATGAAAACACACCAACTAGTTACAACCTCTTGCCCATGGCAATCAAGGACTGGTGTTCACCAGTGAATTCACTGTAGGATCTACCCTTAAAAGAAAACTCGGACATTGGGACCGTGATAAGCTTGTCCCACTGAAGGCGTTTTCCAATAGTTTGTGAACCAATTGAGCTGAAAATAGCGGTGACAATGGGTATTCCTCTTTCCTTGGCCAAATTACATGTGGCCTGGGTAAGCAAGCGGCCGATGCCCAAGCCGCGGTGGAGACCCGAGACGCCGAGGAACATGAGCTCGATAGACTTTTCCACGCCATAATGCTCAAATGCGTCATTCTTCGAATCAACCTAACAATAATTTTTTCATGCATTCCATTGATAAAGTAATCAGCAAATTTAATTTGCACTCACTCTTATCATGAGGTTCATGTATTCCTTAGCCGTTTCCGTCTTGCACTTCAAGTCTCGGAAGTCTTCAAAATAACATTGGTCACCAGGTTTGGGTTTGTATTGAACTTTGTTGAAAGCAGCTCCGACGATTTTGCCTTCAAAGATGGCAATCAAGGACGTGCCATCTTCAAAAGTCTCCACTGTCAATTTCTCAAGCTCGTCTATGGCCTCAGGACAAGACTAAACATTTTTTCTTTCTTAAAAAGGTTGTTTTTTTAGTTTAATTGCAACTCACCAAAAGCTGCACAGCCTTGGCAACAGACTCGTCCGGATAATAAGCGTCTCTCATAAGAGCCAAGGCTTCTTTCAAGTTGGCGTCAGTTAGACTAATTATCTTTACCCCCCTTTTATTTGTTAGAAGAACTTTCTGCTCACTCATAATGAAATCTGAAATTAATTAATTAAATAATTAAAATGAATATAAAAAGAACTTTTCATTTTTTAAACTTGCCTTTCTTGAAACTTTACTGTTTGTGAATAGAATTGGTCTCTGACGACGCAGATGACGAAGGTTTGTTGGGGACAGAGGATCTGGCTGCAAAGATCTTGAGAAGAGAATAAACAGTCATTGGCGGAACTCCTGACCTCAAAAGCTCAACGACGGCACTGTAAATTTTAACACTTGGACTTTGAGCTGCTTTGTTTGTTTCATTACAAAGTTTATCAAATTCAAGACCCGTGTGAACAATAAAACTCTGAAATTAACGTTTAAAACATAACAACATAAAACGTTTTATCCTTTCGAATTTGATATTTGAATTCTAGTTGGTGTACATAAGTTTAATTAAAAAAAAAATATTGACTACTTTTAGTTTTTGAACATTTTATAAATTACCAAAGACAAGTAAATTTCTTAGGTTAGGACTAACAATAAGTTATTTTAGCAAAGCCAGATATTACCTGTGTGTTCTTGTAGAGATCGAAACTCCAGCGAGTTGGGCAAGTGAATGCAGCTTGGAGACTTCCTCCGAGTTTGAGTCGCTGTTGCTGCTGCCCCTTCTCCTGTTCGCCATCCTAGCGAATAGAGACTTTGCCAAGGCTGCAACAACACGTGTATGGGTTAAAGAAGATCAAATTATATATATATCGAGGATAAATAATACAAGATTTTAGTTTCCTAGTTTTTGCAGGGAAATTGTATATAAGATAATTTTTTGTTTTTGAATTATTATAAAATCTAACACACACTTTCAAAATCACTCTATCGCTTTTATTATTTAGCACTTAATTTTATATCAGTTTTTCCTTTCATATCTAATCTTTATTAAGTAAAAAAAGAGCAACGATAAAAAGTAATATACGAAAGTGGACCAATTAAAGTCACTGAACTTTTTTTTGAAGCCGCTTTTTTGTATTCAGTGATTAATATTATGTGATGTGTTTTAGCGCAGGCCTATGGCAAAACGTCATGCTAATTTTTTTGCTTATTTACATTCACGACCGAGCAAATATTTGAACAAAACAAAAAACAAACAGAAAAAAGCCTTTGCTCTGACTGACGTAAAAATGCGGCAACATGATACATAAATAATATTTTGTGCAATTTTGTGGTAAAAATTTAAAATTGATTGATTTATGTCTTATTCTATATAGCTGCTATAAAATCATTGTAGGATTTTTTTTATAAATTATTGAAATTAACAAACCTCTCACAAAAACAAGATCTAAGAACGCAACTTTTCGCACTTTCGCAGCCAGCACGAAAACAAACGATGTGGGCGTGTACTTTTAGAAAAAAGCGCGCGAGTGGGCGTTGCTACGTTAAAAAAGTGAGCATCGTGAAAAACTCCGCCCTTTGTCATAAATGTACTAGTAAACAAAACGACGTGCGACATGCCTTTTGCTTTTTGATTGACTTCGAGTTTCTTATATTCCTTTTCCTCTTCAACTTGAGTTATTTGTTCATAATTGACATTAATTTCATATCAAAAGAGATGAAATTTCGTCAGGCAGGCGTTCTTCTTCCGCGTTGACGTGTAAATTGAGCAAGATTTAGTCATGAACAGGAAACGTGGTGGGCCTCCGAAGGAGGTGCAAAACACATGCTCACTCATGGTAACATGATTTTTATTTTTTTTTATTTTTTGAAACCGAATTTTTAACTAAAATTATTAAACTGATCTTAGCTGGAAGAGATCCCTAATAAGTTCGCGAAAGGAGCAGATGGGCAGTCAATTAGGGCCACTGAAAGTCATGTGATTGCTGCGTCCCAGCAAAAAGAAAACATGAACCAGGGACAAGGTAATTTAATATTATTGTGTATTCTATCCCTTGCTTATTAGCCTTTCTACATACTCATTTAAAATTTTTGTATGTCCACATACGCACTGAAACATAGGTTAGAGGTGTCAAAATAAAAGTAATAAAGGGACCAGCATTTTATAAATTCATCTCATGATTTTTTTCCGATTTCATTAAAATTTTGGTTATTGTTTATTTGTCCAATCTGTAAATAAAAATCATATGCTAAAATTTATTTAATTTTTAGATCGCCAAAAAGAGCCCAGTGGTGAAATGACTGTGGAGAAAGAACCTCAAACAAGAATTGTTTTGAAACCCGAGCATCAAGTGAACTTCAAAGTCAAACAACTTCTCCCCAAAATTTGCAAGAAGTACGGAAGACCTGAAGATTTAAACACTACCCAAGGAAAGGCGCTTGTCAGTATCGCATCGATGTATCAAAAACTGAGCAAAGACCGCCTGTCAAGTATCATTTCGAACGTCATCCAGTTCCTACCTGATAAGCCTGACGCCGTAGACGCATTTCTGAAAAGTGTAACTCCCAACATTATACCACACAAAATTACTTTACACTGCAGTGACTGTCTGAACGATGAGATTCAGTCATATAAATGTGTTAAGTGTGGTTCCTCTGCAATTGCCGTAAATCTACAAAACGACCTGGCAGACATAATTAAAAACCTGTTTGAGCACCATCACCTTTACAACTTGATCTCGGAGAGCAAGGGTCAGCACCTCATCAATAATGAAGAAGTTTCGGACGTTTGTGACTCTGACAAGTACAGGAAGTTGTCAAAAGACAGAGGGCCATATGACCTATCGCTTGTGATCAATACGAGTGGCCTTTCTGCCTTTGGAAGTCCAACAGCAAAAGTTTGGCCTTTATTTTTCACAATTGCTGAAGTCCCCATTCATCACAGGAAGCGATTCGTCATGCTTTCAAATTTGTGGTATGCTCCCATCCAGAAACCAAATCTGAATGAATTCATGGGACCATTCGTTGCTGTGATTAAAAATCTCAAGACTGTTGGTGTTAATTGGACCCACCCTGAGACTAAGGAGCTACACAACAGCAAGATTTCTGTTCACTTTTGTGTAGCTGATGCCCAATCAAGGGCAACCCTGATGAACCTGAACAAGCCCAATGAACTTTTCGGATGCTCTCGATGTGAAATTCCAGGTCAAAGAGGCAAGTATAACGTAATTTATCCTTACTCTGAAACTTCTTTTCCTACAAGGACAAGTGGAAACACCCAAGAGCACTCTTTCACCCTGCAGCAAACGTCGTGCCCAGAGGAGGTACAAAGGAGAATGAGTGTCGGTCTGCCTGACCTTAGTTGCATTCTCGGAGTGAAGGGCACTTCTGCTATGACTCACCTCCCCGAATTCAATCTAGGAAGAGACCTTCTGCCAGATTACATTGAAACCTGTCTTCTGGGAGTTGTCAAGAACCATTTGAAGGTAGTGTTTGACCCTGCTAATTCAGAGCAAGAGTTCTACATTGGAGATGCAAAAACTTTGAATAAAAGACTGAAAGAAATTGAAATTTCTTCCATCATAGGAAGTCCGCCAAGAGATTTTTTGTCTGTGGACACCTGGACAGCCAAAGACTTCAAGAACTGGCTCCTCTACTTTAGTTTACCTTTCTTCAAAAGCATTTGGTCAGAGAAGTACTATCGTCACTTCAGATTGCTTGTTATTGCTACGTACACTCTCTCTAAAACCAAAATCAACTTGGACGAACAAGCCTTTTGCTTTGAAGCTATCACGGAGTTTCGTTCTTGCTATGGAGATCTGTACGGAAGTGAGAGAGAATCGATGGAAGTGCACATGCTGTCTCATCTTTGTTCTTCAGTATATCGCTTTGGTCCTCTGTTCTCCCACTCAGCCCTGATGTTTGAGGATGCGAACAAAATCATTAAGCACAGAATTGGAACTGCACCTAAAAAGGTGCACCAAAGACTTTTGAAGATGGCAAAATTACAACATTCTTTTCAAACACTAACATCAGTGTGCGATCCTAAGACAAGAACTTTGTTTCTGGGACATCCAATTCCTCATTCAAGCATTCCTGCAGAAATCCTCGAACTGGTTCGAAGACTGGAAAATCATTCGAGTGTCATATTCTACCACTCAATCAACTTCAGAGGGCTGATTCTTACCTGCTCAACTCGCACCCAAGACACCAACTCAAATTCCAACTTTGTCCTTTACAAAAACAAGTCCCAGTTGAAGGCAGCCAATGTCTTGTTCTTCTGCAAGCTACAGTCCAAATTTTCCAGCGAAACTCTAAACATCTTTGTGGGCAGAGAAGTGAAGCTCTCTGAACTCAAGGGCAAAACCGTTTTTCAAAAGTACGAAGAAGAAAAGGAAATTGTCTGGAGCCAAATCTTTTTCATTGAATCACCACTGATCAACATTACTATTCCACCAAGTGAAAACTATTTTGGCGTCAAAGTGATGTGTGTCCCACCAAATTTAGAGGACATCTAAGCCAATAACAGACTGGTAGTGAAAATAGTCATATACTTTTTATAATTCAGCTGATACTTTAAGTATGAATTATCAAATAAATTTTTACATAAAACTGATTTTGTTGTTTTTTTATCTGCACCTTATTTTGTTGTCGTTTATTTATTATTTACTTATACTTAATTACATTATTTATCCTTAACAATGTATTAATAATTAATTACATTATTTATCCTTAACAATGTATTAAACATTTATATTATCTAGCATAAGAATTAAGCCTTCATGCATGGGGGTTGAAATATTGAAGCACTTCAAGTCTTGTCAAGTTTATGCTGTGTAGCTTTATTATTATCAATAACAATACCTCTCCATTTTTATTATCATAGAAATTAATGACCGGATACAAAAAGGAAAAACTAATTACAAAGATGCGAATAGCGGTATTTTTAAAAGTGGATAAGTGGGCAGCGTACAGGAAGGGTTAGAAAACTAATTTAATAATCAAACAGAGCAATAAACAGGCAATGATGATTTTCCATAAGAGAGGTTCAGATCGTGATGATGAAGACTTGCACATGACGAGGCGTAACTCGGATCCAATTTATAAGTATTCGAAATTGCAAGAAGCAACAAGTAAAAGTGTGAAAGGTTCATAAGGACAAAGGGGACACTTCCAAATCGACATTATGGCCAAAACAGTCCAAGAAAAGTGCCTTGCTTCATTAATCTTGTTTAAAAAAGCACTGCTCTCCTAGTAAAGCACTTTGAAATTTAATCATTCCATCTCCACGGTCTTTTACACTTCTTAGGAGGTGGTTACTTAAGTTAAGGGTGCTTCTTCGATTGGATGCAAACCGCATTACAGGGTCCACATAGCAGACCTGGGTCCAGCCGAGTTTTTGCGATTTTACATCCAATTTATGACCAAGCAACCCTTACAATTTGATTTTGGGCACAACTGAAAATATGAAACTAAGGCAAAGTATCAACCAACAAAGTATGGGTAACCAAAGCTTAGCTACTTATTCAGTACCAATTAAAAATAGTGACACCATTTGTCATTTGCAAAATCAACTATTAATTGCCATGTTCATGGTGTTTGGCCAGCCAATGCGCAAATTCACTGAAAAGCAGGATCTCTGCAATTTAGCTACATGGCCGCCACCACACTTTTTCTCTTAAGTTTTAGTATTCTTTTTAAATGAGTCCTTTGGGCATGACAGAAAGAGAGGCACTCTGCTGCTGCATTCATTGACACTTATTTACTCTATCACCTTGAGCACCTTGCCGATAGCGATGGTCTTGCCTGCAAAGTAAAATTAAAAATTATGACGATATATTTTTCCTAATTGAATTTTGTTACTTATTTTTGACTGCTCTGAATTTTTTTTAGGAAAATTTATTTATATTAATGACTTACCTTCGTCTCGAAGAGTGAATCTGCCCATTTGAGGGAACAGTTTGAAGGGCTCGAGGCATATGACACCAGCACACTCTAGCCTCATGATCACCACTTGATCCTGCTTGACAAAACGTGGCCGCGTTTTGGACTTGTCCCCAGTCTTCTTGTCAACCAAGCAAATCAGAGCCTGTTTGAATGCAAAAATAAGTTTCTAAATTTTCATAAATAAATGTGTAAATTTACCTTGACTGTCACTTCTTCAGCTACGCAATGGATGTGCATGACCGCCGAGTAACCTGCACAAATAATGCTCTTGTGCTCCAAAATAACTACCTAAAATTAAAATTGAGTTTAGGTGGATGAAGAGAATGTTGACCGAGATAGTTCGTACTTGAGCATCAAAGATACGCCCAGTTTTGGTAGGATTATTGGCATCACAGAGCACAAATCCTGGAGACACATCCTCTTCTTCAATTCCTTTCAACTTAATCTTGACATTTTCTCCCGAGCTAACTGACGTGACTTCTTCATCGTCAGACCACAACTGGTCTACTATCACTGGTGTCTGCGAAAGAAATTTTAATAATTTTAAAACTTTAATTACTTATTTATTACTCACCCTATTAGGCATAAGAAGAAGACTTTGACCTTTCTTGGCTTCACCAGACTCAACCTTTCCCATAACTACAGTACCCATGTCCTTATATTTGTCAACTACTGGCATCATAAAAGGCCCCTCACTAGTACGACCTAATGACGGCAACTGGTCGATGTATGGAATAAAGGCTTCCCCTCTAAAAAGTTGGAAAATTAAAAATCAAGGCAATTTTTTTCATTTCCGAAACTCACCTGTACCAAGGGCAAAGCTTTTCATCTATTTTCTCTTTAAGGCCCAGACCAGTGAGTCCAGAGCAAGGCATGAATGTGAGGTCCTTTTGAGGATTAAAACCAAGTTTTTTAAGGTAGGGCATCAACTTGTCTCTGCATTCATTATATCTACAATTTTCAAAGTTAAAAAAAAATAACATAATTTAGTTGCGAAATTCACCTTTCTTCCGACCACTCTACTGTAGGATCATCCATTTTATTGATAAGGACAACCAAATGCCGGACACCTGCAGTTTTGGCCAGCATAGCATGCTCTCTAGTTTGGCCACCTCGGTCGAAGCCAGTTTCAAACTCTCCTTTTCTGGCAGAAATGACGAGGACGGCAAGGTCGGCTTGTGCGGCGCCGCCGATCATGTTGGGCACAAAACTCTTGTGGCCCGGCGCATCAAGAATGGTGAAGTGTTTGCCATCTGTTTCAAAGTAAGCACGGCCCACCTCCACTGTCTTGCCTTTCTCTCGTTCTGTCAAAATTTTATATTTCAAATTCATTCTTGGTTAATTCTTTTGCATACCTTCCAGGTTTGTGTCGAGCGCCCACGAGAGGTACCAAGTTTCTCTGTTCTTCTCCTTGGCTTCTCTCTCGTACTTTTCGAGGGTTCTCTTTTCAACCATGCCAGTCAGGTACATGATTTGTCCTCCAATCGTACTCTTTCCAGCATCTGTGGACAAAATCAAGTAGTTTTCAGAAAAGGTTATAAAAATAACATACAAATTTGATTCAGATTAACATGATAAAAAATAGTTAAAAAAATATGAATTGTGTAAAAACATTAATTATTTCGATTTAAACAAAAGGCTTAAATCTATGCAAAATTCATAATTTTAATATTCAAATTCTTTAAACCAAAAAGTAAATTTAATTTTAACAGAATTAACCTTAGTAATTATTTAAAAGAAATTCAGAATTTAATTTAATTTCAATCAGAAGATATCTTCAGGATTTTTATATTAATTTCAATAATTAAATAAAGTTTTATGTAAAAGTAAAATTATGCCACTTACAAATATTTAATTAATAGGTAGACTACAATTTAAAATCGCTTCTAAAAATTGAATTATTGCGAAATTGGCAGCAAAACTCACCAACATGACCAATGAAGACAACGTTGATGTGTTCCTTTTTGCTTTTGGTCTCCTCAGCTTTTGCTGGCCTTTTTTTGGGCTTCACAATAAGCTCCTCTTCCTCTTCTTCAACATCTTCCTCCCCAAGTTCATCCCCATCTGCAGCCTCTTCCCAACTATCAGCCGCAGGTGGCTTTAAATGAGAAAAAAAGAAAAATTTAAATTATTCCCTGCAAATAAATGGCTGAAAAAATTCACAGACCTCATTTACTTCAAGCGCCGCCATGGCTACTGCAATGGATTGTCCATCTTCTGGGGTCGAGGCCTTCGAAGAAGATCCATCAGGTGGTTGTTTTGTAGGGGAGGTGGATCCAGGTGGTTCTTCCATTGCTAGGGCAAGGGTGACTGCGTCTGGGCTACTTTTGTCTGCGGAAAAACGAGAGAATTGCCGGTCAATTAGCGGGCAGAAAATTTTACGAACGGAGCACAAATAACGCGACCCGAGTCGCAGCAGGTGCTGAGTTCGCAGAAGCACATTCGCGGAATTCCGTCGAGTTGGCGGAAAGTCAGCAAGTAATCGGGAATAAGTGGGAAATCGGGTAAAATTACAGGAGGTGTGGTCTCGAAATGCGGCCATATGGAGTGCGGAACGTGTTGGTCTGCGGTGGGAAAGTTGGAAAAGTGGGCCATCGGGGGACACTCACCACTTGGGGTTTTGGCAGGGCTGTCCGGGGTGCCTGCTGAGGGTTCTGAGGGGGCGGAGTTCGGCATCCAGGAGGGTACGAACACGGCAGCATTCACGTTCAGACTGAAGCTGGACGGTGTCTCGTCGATGGGTTGAGTCGTGGCGGCGATCGGTGCGCCTGCAGAATCGGCCTTCTCCCAGCTCTCGGGCGGAGCCACGGCCTCGGTAGTCGTTGCGTGTTGATCAGTACCGCTGCTCATCGTTCAGACACGCGGCGACGCGAGAAAATCCCGTTTTTAACGCGGTTTTCTGTTGATTCTGTCCGCGTGTGCACCTTTGGCAATGTGGTCCTCCTGCAGCACCGCAGCGCCACTACGGCCGCCGCTAAAACTATTAGAAACTGCAGCCGCCACTGCTGCCAACCGTTCCAACCAAAAATCCTGGCACCTGCAGGACAAGACGGCGACCTGTTTTCTCTAAAGGATTGCACTTTCTTCAGGTAAGTCGACGATCAAAAGCGGTCATACGTTGAAATTTGAATAGAAAATTATCAGATTATCAACTCCTGAACCGGCAGTGCCTTTTGAATCGTCCGTTTAATTTGAAACAAGTCGCGATTGAGCGAAATTATTGCATCCATGTGTGCCGGATAGATTACATAGTTTTTTGACAAACCGGGAGATGGCACATTGCCAATAAGTGTGGTCTTTTTTAATTTGCCCTGCGGGTTGCATGCCTTGTTACAATAGAAACACGAAACACGTATTCTCGTTTCTCGTTTTGTTTAAATTTAAAATTGCGCATTACAATCAATTTGAGCCTCTGATACAAAATTTTATTTGATTATTTTTTTTTTAAATTCTTTAAAAAATACATTTTGAGCTCTGTCTTGGTTGAATATTTCATTCAACAGAGGGTTCTGCTCAAAAAGGTTTGCCTTAATTTATTTTTATTTTCTACATGATTTGTATTGGAATTTAAAATTCACATGTAATCATAAATTAAAACAAACTATTTTTTTTTATATAAAATTTACTTGAGAGCAAATTATTGATAAAGTTTCGAAACTTAAAAATTAAAAAAAAAATTACATTGATTTTATGTGCGATTTGTTTCGCATTCTTGCAACAAGAAATTTAAAACCTCAGTGTTTTTGTACTCCAGCGCTAAAGTGATCGGGGTCTCGTCTCGCCAATCGCAAGCGTTCACATCAGCTCCGTTTCCTACCAACAATTTTACTGTATCTAGGCCTTTTCTTAAATGCACCGCAAAATGAAGCGCAGTGGTTCCGTGATCATTTGTTTTCCTAACGTCAAACTGGCCGGTGGACAACAAGTATTTTACTATTTCAGTATTCTTTCCTCTGGACGCATTCATTAGGGCATCGACGCCACTGTCCATCACAGCATTTAGGTTGGCTCCATTTGCCACAAGCAAACGACACATTTCGACGCTCGCCTCCTTGACTGCTAAGAGTAGAGCCGTTGACCCTCTTTTATCCCTGAAAAACATAATATTTTTTTTTAAATAATTTATAATAAGCATATTTCAAAAAATTAATTCATAAAAATTTAAATAGAAATTATTCCCTTGTTATTAATTTCATTGCGCTGTTATTTATTATTTGTTTCAAGATTTTAATTTTCAAATAATAAATAATGCCCAATAAATACAAATTTTACCATACAAACCTTTTAAGTTTTATGATACACAATAAATCTGGATAGGCAAGAGAATTTGTAAAAAATAGTTTCTACATCACTGCATAGCAAAGCGATGCTATAAAGATATATGCTGGATAGAATAATAAAACTACAATAAATATAAGTTTAAAATTAAATATCTTCTCATCTGCCTATACTATATACCACAATATATGTACTTACTGCAAATCCACATCTGCACCTTTGTCAATAAGGTACTTAACAACTGCTAGGTGGTTCTTTTCGGCCGAAAAGTGCAGAACTGTTTGTCCGTCGGTGTTGCGATCTTCATTGATTTGGAAGCACCCGAGTCCCATAAAGTACTCAACAATGTCCAGATTGTCTATCTCGCACGCATAGTGCAAGACGGTCTGATTTGAATCATCGACTGCCTTTGGGTCCACTCCTTTTTCCACCAACACTTGACAGACTTCGACGTCATTACGGGCAGCCAAGTGAAGAAGCGTTCGTCCTTCTACGGTTCTGGTGTTGATGTCAAAGCAGCCTAAGTCAAGGAGAAAGCGCACGTTCTTCGCTGTACCCTCACTACAAGTCTGATGTAAGACATTCCATCCAGCATTGTCAACACAGGTCAAAACATCCTTTCCCGCTTCAAAAAGAAATCTCATTTCCTCAAAATCAACACTTGGTCTCAGCAGATTGAAAACCCAATTATTGAAATTGTCTCTTGCCTCGACCAGGCTTCTGTCGACGCTGAGCAGAAACCTCACAGTTTCTACGCTATTACCACTTTGCACGGCAAAGTGGAGAGCGTTTCTTCCTCTCTCATCAGTCAAGCCCAAATCTGCACCATGCCTCCACAGAAATCGCACAACCTGTTCATGTCCTTTGTGCGCTGCGCACATAAGCAGCGTAAGTCCTTGTGTGGATTTCTCGTTGACGTCTTCCAATGTGGTTTCCGTGTTCTCCAACAAGTAAGGCAGCACTTCGGGATGGTCGTTATAGGCAGCCAAGTGAAGGACGTTGACCTCTGTCTTTTGCTTGACTAAACTTGGGTCTCTCTCATGGAAAAAGCGAACGGTTTCAAGGTTTCCTCCAATCACAGCGTAATGAAGAGGGTTTAAACCGACCACATATGTAGCCTTGATATCATCTCCGTTCTCCAGCAAGAGCTGGGCCACCTATAATTTAAATTGCTTCACTCATTATGCCTATTGATCTCATTTCTACTCACCTTCCAATGTCCCCATCTAGCCGCCGAGTGAAGAGCTGATTTGCCACTGAAGTTGATCGCGCTCAAATCGTAGCATCGCAATCCTAATAAGTACCCAGAAACTTCATAATGTCCTCCTTTGCAAGCCAAATGCAAAGCGTTGTTCAGGTCCAGATCAATTCCCAGCACATCAACGCCTTTCTCCACTAGCCATTTGCACAGTTCAACGTCACCGGCTCTGGCTGCCAAGTGAAGAGCGCTCCGTTCATAATCCGTTTTCCCCTCAATTAATGAAGGATCTACAAGAAGGATTTCTTCAGCCATGGCAAGGTTTTTACTTTGTACGGCTAGGTGCAGTGCGTTGAATTTATTTTCATCAATGGCCCGTGGGTCAGCTCCATATTCTAAAAGGTACTTCACTATCTCCAAGTTGTTTGAAGCGGCGGCAGCTAGAAGAGTTGAGCGTCCGCTGCTGTCTCTCAGTTCCATATTTGCTCCGTTTTCGACCAAAATTTTGATACACGCCAAATCACCGTTTTCTATTGCCAAGTGTAAAGCATTGCGATAGAATCTGCAAAATTTAGGCGAAAAAACACATTTATATGAAGCAAAATGACCGGGAAAAATAAAATATTTTAAATTTTAAGCGTGAACCTGAAAGTCTAAATACATATGACATTTTACCTGTCTTTCAAATTAATTCCGGCTCCGATTTCCACAAGCTTGCTTAGCATTTCCAAATGCCCATGTTCTGCTGCAAAATTCGCTGCATTTACATTCTCGTTTTGATGAATAACCTTATCCAAATTTGGATATCTCTCTCGCAAGTCGTCGAGTAGATGCAGAAAATTGTTCTTTGCTATATCTTCAACCAGTCCAACAATTTCCTCCGTTTGTTGATTTGGTTGCAAGCAGTTTAAAGCTCCCATTTTTAGCAATTCTAGACCGATACTTTCACTTGTCCTGCACGCGGCTTGCAGTGCTGCGAAGCTCTCATTTATAAAATGTTTCTCATTTTGAAGCGACTCATCAAACGTAAAAAGTGGTCTTGTAAGATCATAGACACAGGTCAATTTTTCAGAAATGATCAATTCTAATGTGGCACTGCTCATTTGCTTCGATATAAATGAAGTAAAGTTGTGTTGCGTCTCTGATGCTGATTCAGCCAGATAGTGATTGACAAATGTTCTGCATTGTCTGAAGGATTCGTGCATAAAAATAGGAGCATCAAAATCTTCATTTTCTTCAAGGTCGTTCAGAAAATGGTTCGCAGCCAAAAACTCGGCAAATGTCTGGTGCACGAATCTTACACTTTTATTCGCCTGAATGGTAGCGAGTCCAGTGTTGTTGACCTCTATTATTTCATCAACACTAAGTTTTGGTAATTTTAGAGTTTCTATAAAAACACTTGACACTTTTTCCAAAAGTCTCAACCGCCTTTTCACTTTAGTACCGAACATTTTACTGGTTTCATCATACGACTCTTTCCGCACCAACGCTTGTCGCACCTTTTTGTCGACAACGTCTCGGAAAATTGAAAACAAGCTAACCTTTGAAGACGGGAGAACACACTCTGATATCAGAGTCAAATGAAAGGGATTTTTCAAGATGTCTGATGCGCCATTGCTAGCAAAACTGTCTAAAATTTGCAAGCACTCATCATCACTTTTTTTGAGCAACCTTTTCAGCAAATTCACTTGATCTAGTTTTTCAAGTTGTTTTATTTCTACTTTTGTAGTCAGCTGGTCTTCCAAAGCTGCAAGGATGGCAGCTTCTTCTTGTGGCCTGGTAGTGATCCATAATGGCAATTTTAGGCGAGCCAATTCTTTAATCAGTGCCAATGCTTTGCTTCTGTAGTCTGGACAAATTTCATCAAAACCATCTAGGAAAATTGAAACTTGGCGTTTATCCAAAATTTCCTGCGTGATCTTCTCCGTCCACTCTGTCTTTGTAGCATAGGCCAGAAACCCTTTTACATCAACACGCCGGGTTTCCTCAAAAAATTCAATTTGGTCCAATAAACTTATCATTGCCACAATATTTTCACCTTCGCCATGTCTGGCCAAACAAGCTATTTCGCGAAGCATTGTTGTTTTTCCAGAGCCAGGAAGAGACGAAATTATGAAAACAGAATATTCTGTCTCACTCGTCAACTTTTTCATAAACTCGTCGAAGGTGACATCTTTTTTCGTTACCTTGAGAATTTTATGATCAGAAAAATCTCGTTTGAAGTTTTCATCGGTTTTTTCTTCAAAGATTTTTAATGTCGGCTTGTAGTTCTCCCAGAAATTATTTTTACGCTTGTGCAAAATAGCGTCATAGCTTCTCATCGTCAAGTGTAAATTAGGCTTGATGAAAATTGTGGACCACGCAGGAAAGTCGACAAGAAAAGGCATCGTAGATGCTATTTGTGGTTTGAGGTCCGAATTTCCGTACTTTCCTAGCAATAGTTTCATTGTTAATTCCTGCAAGCTCACTCCCATTTTCAGCTTTGGCGATTGTAAAATTTCCACTAATTCAGTTGATGATTCTGGAATAAAAAAAAATTAACTTTGAAAACAATCCGCTATTAAATTAACCAACCTTCATTCGGCAGGATTACAATAAACCAGCCGCTGTGGTTCGTAGCTCGCAGTTGAAATTTCTCTCCCTATTATGATTGATTTGTAAGATACGCATAAAATTATTAAAATAATTAAAAAAGCTTACACTGTTAATTTCGTCTGTTGAAACCGACTGGTTTATGAAGAAAAATATTTTAGGGCGGCCAATCCATTTTTCATTATCTGGGCCAATAAAGTGATGAATAATTTTCCCCAGTTGAATTTGCTTCCCGTCAATATTCAAGCAAATTTCTTCATTTTCGTCTTGCAAGAGTTTCACGAAAAAACAAAAAATGATGCATCCAACCTCACTTTGCTCACCAAAAGCTGTTTGAGAAAAAAAATTTAAAAAAAATTAATTACATTTTTTTTCTTTAAATTTTATAGTTACTAACTTTTTTCGTAAATCCATTTGAGATTTTCTGCCGAGTTTTGCAGCACCAAAGTTTCAAAGTCAAGATTGTCTCTGAGCGCTTTTTTGACGTTTCTCACGTGCGAATTTTGTGCATCACAAAATATGGCCGCCCATCTCAATCTGATGGGTTCCGCGTGCTTGTCAGAAAGCCACAAGAAAAAGTGGCTTCTATCTTCACCAATTGTTATTTTGCTGGCATTTGCCCTTCCGTCACTTGTATTGACCACCGTAGAAACCGCAACATCGGTTCTATAAATATAATTAAAATAAAATAAAAAATCCTTCCTTTAATATAATTTTTGTCACATACTTGTAAAATGTAAATTTTTTCATTGGGAAAAATTTTACTTCTGGCGATTGACCCATTATGTCTATGGAAGAATGGACATTGTATTGAATTTTATTCAGCAGGACTTCCAGCGGTGCGTTTTTCCGCAAGTTGTTCAATGTTTCGCAAGTGTAGCGTACAAGTACAGAGCCTAGCTTTTCGCTGCGTACTGCCTTGGTTGCTAAAAGTCGAGAATTGCCAATTTAACAGTATTTATAATTTGATCTGAAATACTTTCTACTGTTGAATAAACTAAGACGAAATTCTCTTGGTTCGGAAAGCTTGTGACTCTGCAAGAATTTTTATTATTCCTTAGCTCAGGGTAATCGCGTCCCTGTCCAGGTGCGTGAACCAAATCGTCAATTTCACCTCGGCAAGGCTGTAATTAAATTGTTATAAAATTAATAAAATACACAATTAAAAAATATTATTGTTCTAACCGCGAAAAAAATTATTTTCAAGCTTGGTTCCAGTGCAGTTGAACTCTGTAAAGCTTCAACCACCTCTTTTGTGGTAAAATATTCATAATCATTTTTGTCTTGGTCGAGGTGATCGGTATAAATGACTCCATCGCGGTTGCCGTGCGACAGAAAGAATGGTATGAACACAGACGGGGCATCTGAATTTTTTGAAAAACAAAAGATAATATTTAAATTTGGATTAATTTTCAAGATTGAACTGACCATTTGAGTTGAAATATTTTAATAGTGTTTCTTGGTCAGAGAGCAAGTGCAGTAATTCGTCTTTTCGCGGCGATGGCCACTCTCGGAAGTGACATCCACGTTTGGTTTCAAACGTTGCTCGCAAATTAGCAACATCTTCATCGTTCCCAAGTCTCTCATTTACCTCATCGTCTTTAAACATGTAATGAGCCACAAACACGAATACACTGAGAAATAAAAATGTTTGAACGGCGCTTCTATCAAAGTCATAAAAGTTAATAAAACTGACTTTTCTGCACTTTTCCCATCTTGGAAAAACCCCAAATTAGCCATTTCTTCGCCTGTAACCTATTGCAATTAAATAAAAACATAACAAGGAAAACAAAATATTTTAAAGTGCATTTTAAAAATTAAAGCCATTATGCCAAACCTTTGAGATTTTATATTCCCGCTGAATCTATTCAGATTATAACGATAATGCACTGCGCACTTCTGTCCATTGCCTGCATCAGCTCAGCTGTTGACTAAATTCTATTTTGTGTTCTCCGTTATATTAAAATAATTTATCTTGTTGCCCTGCCCACCACATAATTGAGCACCGATCTTGCATTTGCTGTGGTGCTCACTCTGTCGACAATAAACTTAACTAATAGGGTCGCTATCCTTCAGATACAATACATGTTGCTTTAATCCCTTTAATCGACTACAAAGTTATAGTATATTATTCTTATATTTAAAATTATTTATAAAAATAAATTTTCAAAAAGATTAAATTGGCAGCTACACTGTTATGCTTAAAATAATGCTATGCTATTACAAATTATTATTGTTGTTTATTTTTTATGCCTATTTTAGACGATTATTAAAGATTAATCGATTTTAAGTTAATTTAATATAAAAGAATAAGATGCAAATCACAATTGAAAATATATGTTCAACGTGCAACAGTGTATATTCTTTCTCTGCGAGTTTTTGGGTGATTAAGAATTATTAGACAGCATCTTGTGGCATGAAATATTGCAATCAAGTGAAAGTATTGTACATCTCGGGTGCATTGCAAAAAAGTGCAGGAACAAAGAAAACCTGCACGATGCGTGCAAATGACCCAGCGAGCCAATGCAGATCATTATGAAAATGAGAGTTTTAAGCTTTGAGTGGAAGGGATGGTAAAGCAAAGAGCGCGCACCTTGAATGTGGAGGCGGAATCACCGCGGCTAAAACGAAAGAAAGACAAGACAAGTAGGTTAGTCAGTCTAGCGCGATTCGAGCAGGACCCTCGCACTTTAGTCGCTGCTGAAAGACCCGCGCCTCGCGATCCACTCGCATGTGCAGCAGCATGACTCCGGTGAGCCTTATTTTCCAATAACATTGATTTGCAATTTTCGGAGCATGCATTTCACCAATCTATTTTATTGAAAACATTTTATTTTTTATTCAAATTTTATTGTCTCTTAATATTAAAAGTATTTTTGAAGCTAAATTGTTTTATTAAATTTTGGCTTTGCATTGCAGAGTACATGCAAGCAGTGACTGAGAAATGTTATTTTGTCTCACATTCAGTGGGCATGGCTCTCAAGAAGTACAAAATATTTTTCTTCCGTCCTTGTTTTTACAGCTTTATTTTAATCTATATATTCATAAAATTTTGGCTTTTTTTTCAGTGAGCAACGCTCCTTTTTTAATGAAATTTATTCATTTTTTTTTATAATGATAATTCAGTTAAAATATTTTGAACCAATACTACATTTTGTTCAAATGATTGAAATCGTCAGCACACAAATAATTTCTTTTCTCATACGTGCACCAAAAACTTTATAAAACGTGCAAATATGAATCATGAGACTTAGAAATTTATTTGCATGCTTAGGCAAATCACGTAAGCGCGGGCATAAATGCAAAGGTTAATTCCAGGCCCAGCACGTTTTACTTTTCCCTGAACAACAAAGAAAGTCACTTTTCTTGATAATAATAGCGTGCACTTGCGGGCGGAATTTTAATTTCGCATGTGTGCTGGACTAGTTCTTTTCTCATATTATCTTACTAATCATGCTTGGTGAATTTTCTTTACTGCACGTTTCTCTCACAATTTGTCTGAAGCATAAACGAAGAGAGAAATTTTTGACACATAGAGATGTATAAAATCAAAAGTACTAACCTACTAACGTACTAACTAAAAAATAACATGAATTATTAAAAAAAAATGTAATTGACGATAAAGCCACTGCAATTTTTAATAAATTTTTCTACTCTATAGAAAGCCGGTTACTTTCAAATTTGGAACCATTCCAGTTGATTTCATTAATATATCTGCGAGTAGAAAAACGTAGATGGAAAAAAAGATCCACCTTTCATTTTGAGCTTGTGTGATGTGCTCTTTTGATCCAGTATATATTATACATAAGAAAAAACGAATGAGCTGCAAGTAAAAAAATTAGAGCTTAGCAGTGGATTTCCCCGTACAAAAATGGGTCGGTTTTGACACACTGCACGTGTACATACTTGAAAGGATGATTCGTTCGTCCATTGGGTGCGATTTTCTAATTCCGAATTCCATCCGCGCATCTCTCGGTGCAGTTTGCTCTGATCTCATCTTCTGCTGCTGGGAGCTCCGAAGCTTTCCAACAAAAATGCGAGGCGCCACAACGCACAGGTGGAAAAAAATTACATTTTGCACCAAGCAGTCTCAGAGATGGCCATCTATAATGAATAAAATGATAATAGGTTTCGTGCTTTCAAGGGGAGATTGCCCATATTTAATTTCCCGCTACATGGCTCTTAGATTAATGGCCCTCTTACAATGCATGTGCGCATTCGCTTGTTTGATAAGCCCGTAAATTCTGACTTATCTTGGGGAATTTTAAATTTAATATCATTAATCACGTTTTTTTGCATATTTTAAAAATTATGAAGACCAAAATAAATAGAATATTATTTTGAAAGAAAAAAATTATTTATTAAAAAGCTTCAAGCGAGGTAAGCAAATGTTCCTCAGTCAGATCATGCCGGATTATCAAATTATGATGTAAACTTATGCGAGTGTGGCGCAAACTTCAAGAAAAGAGTATGAGCAAATTACTAATTGGTATGAAGCTATGCAAATTTCACGCTCACTGCAGGCTCGCTTGCTCGTGTGAAAATATGGAAGAGAGTATCTTGAGTTATTAAATTTGATGTGTGGATTTTTTTCGCAAACAAGTCCGGCTTAATTTCTCATGAAAGCTTCACTCTCGCTGCAAACAAAGAAATTTGTGCAGGTTAAGCGCGGCACAAGTGAAGGAAATTCAATAATAACCTGCAGTGCAGACACTAGTTTTGCTGCTGGTGGGAAAAATCTGCTTAGTCTTAATCGCTATCACAAAAGTCAATCTAGACTTATGGTTCAAACCGATTGTCCTTTAAGACGTCTACATTACTTGATACTGTGCTGAAAGTACAAATTTTTCTGACAGCTTTGTTGTATAAGAACTGATTTCTTTCCTCCGATATAAAATCATTGCAGAGATCTTACAATTGGAAAAATGAAAATTTTGAAATTATTGAGACAAAGAAATTTTTATAATAAGTTATTCTTACCCAATTGTGACGCTGACAAATTGCAAAAGGCCAAACATTTCTTTAGGTACGTGTTATAATTTTGATTGATTTGATTTTGACATGCAGATCGCCACTGTGCGCAGTCTGTGCAACTTTTACTTTCACAGACCGTGCACAATGTTTGCTCATTTGGACTTTTGGTCTCATGGAGCAGGTTGTTGCAGCACCTTTTTGTCAGTTCAACTGTATGGTCACCGCATGAAAGCACTCCGTCATTAATTGCAGTTTTACCCGCACCTGTCAAGAGCTACACAATTAGAGATGCGCTCGGCATAAATGTTGCATTTTGCTAACTAGCTCTATTCACGCCACGACACAGAGCAGCATCATTATTGCTACACACATTTTTTACTCCAAATGGTGCAATGCGACATGGAAGCTCATTTTATTTTATTTTATTAAAAATTGAGCGTATTAATTGTGAAATGTTTTAATTTATACATAATTTCTTTCCTTATTTTTCCATGGAAAATTTAAAAATCATATTTTGTTTTTCAAACAAATATTTTTTTATAGGTTTTACAAATTTTATAAATTATGATTTTGTGAATTATTTTAAACGTTTGGAAAAAATTACTAGAATATTATTTTTTTGATTATGTGTTAATTTTATTAAAAAATTAATCAGAGCAAATTTGTTTGGTTTTGTTTCAGGCGAGAGGCGGGTCGTTTGCTCTTCTTTCCCTGGTCGTGATCTCGTACTTCCAGCCCCTTCTGTCCAGTCCTCAGTGTCAACACTATGGGGGATGCCGCGACGAATACCGCTTCCTTCCTGTTCCTCCCGGGAAGACGCCCTATTGCGCGAAACCCGGAGAAACGTTTTGCGAGAAGATTGAAAATTACCCTGTGTAAGTGGAAGTAACTTTTATCTGCCTGGTTGACAACGTCATTTTTATTCTTTCATAACACTAAGTATTTTTTATTTTGCCAGTGCGCGAAAACAATTAATTAGAACCGTTTTACAGCATGAAGCATGAGATTCTGCACCACATTCAAAGGGTCATTCTCCACGGTTCCTTTTCAGAGGAAAGCACGTTGCCCAACCGACAGGGTCGCGGCGTTAAAAATTGGCCGCGGCGTGAAGCGTGCATGCAATTAAAGCATTGCGTGCACTTTTGCGAGAGAGACTTGAACGCGCGTTTTGACTGAAATTTCGGTATCGGGAGCGAGAAGGAAATACCAAGTAGGTTTAGAAAGAACCTGGCGGCGACCTCCAGTAAAGAAAGAGGACCTCAGGCACCATGGTCACTGCGCTCGCGTGTCACGCCCTTTTATACACGATGACTGAGCACCTCACCAATTGTGACCGAGATCGCGACGTCAGATTTTCGCTATCGATTAATAATAAGACCGATTTTGGTTTCTGATGGTCAGTCTGCTGGGACAGATTTTTTCTTTTTATATTTTGTGCACACCGTCAAGGCCTCTGGCGGAAATACCCAGTCGCGTGGACTTTCCGTTTCCAGCACATTTATTTGAGCATTTGGCGAACGGCGTGAAAAGATTGAGTGCGTTTCTGCTGATAAAAACAACGTTTGGCGGATTTTATCAAATGCACAATGCGCGCGCGGTGAAATCCCCAGGCGTATTGTTCCACTAATGCCGGTGACCTTGCCCCCTTCTCAAAACAATGCCGCCTCAGGAGCACTTAATTAGATTATTTTACACTACACAGCAGTTTGTCATTGTCAATTTCGATTTACGCGTGAAATTTTGCTGCAATTTCTCCGTGGCCTGGTCATTTTTTTTTTCTTTTTCATAATCCTGTATTCAAATACAAATTTGGCCTAATTTTCGCGTAAATAATTTAAATTTCTTAATGAGCGTAGGATTTTTTCAGCATGAGCCGTTTTAGTGCAAGGGCAGAGAGAGAAAAAATAATTAGCTTTTACAGTCGATTAAGTGCTCCAGGTGAATGAGCAGGTGTGTGTTGTTGCCACTTTTATAATATGTGCAATACATGCACCATTAATTGCACAGCTATGTTATAAACAGCGATTAACATGTTGCATGTTGACAATAACAAATTGATCAACTTCGTCACAGAGCTTTACCTCGACATGATTGAAGTGAAAATCTTAAACCATTTGGCTGTAATTTTTTTACCGAATCTATACAATTTAGCCAATAATGTAAATTTAAACAAAATTGTGTTTTTAAGAAAAGTATAAATTTCAAAATCAAGTTGACTCTTGATTAACCCAATTTATTGAGCAAAAAGTGTGCAAGTGAATTACTCTCGTCAGCACAGTGCATCAATCAATGAAGTAGAAAGTTTTTGAACCACCACACAGCATATGAAAGCAACCGAATGGTGCAGAGTAATGGTGCGTCTGCAACTTGCGAGTGATGAGTTCACGTGGCCAAGTTCGAGGTCAATGTCATCTCAGCAGCAAATAATCTAAGGAGTCCGCGCGCCAACACAAAATAAATACACAAAAACTTATAGGTCACTTCCTTTTCTCAGAAAATAAATTTGGAGAAATTGAATTTGTGCAAACTTGTATTCAAGTCTGGAATTTTTTAAACATACATAATGTGCATGTTGCTGGAAAAAGTAAAAGTTAGCAGCATGAAGGGGCAATGTAATGGTTGGAAGTACTTTTTTTGCATTGCGATATTTTTTAAGCGCACTTCAGCTTACTTTCCTTGCAAATTTTTGCCACTCAAATGCACAAGTATTTTAATATGAGAAATATTTTTCAAAATAGTGATAATAATCATTATTTGCCTGTTTGCAGACAGCTGATTCGTTATTTGGCGGAAAAATGGAAATTTGACCACAAGACACTCTTGCTGGATGAGAGCAGAGAAGGCTTTGCTGCAAGATGGTAAAATTCACGCACAAGAAAGTCTCAAAAGTTAATTGGTCTCATAAATAGGACGCCAAAACCATACGGTCCTTCAGCTCCTTCGTACAGCTACAGCCCACCACCGTCACCCTCTTACAACAAGGTCATCCCTACTTATTACCCACAAAACAGAAATACCTTCAACTCAACTTATGGCAGGGGATTCCCTAGCTCTAGCCTGAGACCACCGCAGCCTTCAACACCCTACTACCCAGCCTCATACTTCAGTTCCTTGCTTCCGAACCAATACACACCTACAGATAATTGGTGGAATAGGCAAGTTCATAATTTTCTTTCAAGTGTTTATTCAATTTAAATTTAAGTCAAAATTTTTTATAATAAAGTTTTATCTGAAAATAAGTCTTTTTTCAAATTTTTATTCACAGATATTCAAGATCTGTGGCAGGAAAACAGCAGAAAAGAAGGAAAAGACAAGCAGGACCCACAGCTTTGTGCGCAACAACCTCCAGATTTGTTGGGCCTCAGGCGGGCATGAGCAACACAGGAATTTGGAAATACTTGGTCAACGTCGACGGACTTTCGCAGGAAATTGAAACTGTCCAGTGCAGGTTTGTTGAATTGCTCTTTGTAACAGGAAAGAAAATAAAAGGATTCAATTTTATGGCAGGTCTGAGGGCAGCTCGTGCAACGGCCTGTGTTCTCTTCCGAACGGATACACCTCACGTTGTCAGCAGCAATATGTGCAGAAAAGATTGCTCTCCCTCGATGGATCAGGAAATCAACTTGCGACGGATGTCTTTTGGTTCCCTCATTGCTGCACCTGCAATATAATCCCCAATTAGTGCACAAATTTTACAATTAGAATTTCGTCAATGAAGAAACTAATTTAAATTTATAATTAGTAATTTAGAGTGGTTCGCCTAAATTTTATAAAGCACAAAACAGCTGCTATTTTATATTTTGTTGTGTACATGTTAAAATTAGGCTACTTTAATCTTGTTGTTTTTTCTCTGACCGCTATAATGACCAAGAGTGAATTTTTATTTAATAAAATCCATGTAAAAAAAACTCAATAGCGTCGGGCAAATAATGCTAATTTAAATTTATTTCTCGAAAACGTCACAAATACTAGCATCAGTTCTTTAGTGCAATATTAGAAACAGCCATTGTTACGATAGCAGCATTTTAGTTTTACTGTACATAATAATTTGTAGCTTTTTATTTTTTTTTGTTCATAAAAAATTAAAAAGACCCAAAAATGTATTAAAAGGTTATATTTTTGCCTCATTCTTGTAAAGAAGATTTTTTAGTTATACATGATTACTGAATATACTAAAGTTAAATTATCTTGATTATTTTTAGATACTTTAATCAATATAAATGATTGGTGAGCTTGATTTACTTTCCCTCTCTCACAAGCTTAAGAAGATTAGTATAACTTTCTTGCTGTAGATGGCACGAGACGCGGCGGATGCAGAAAGTGAAAATGCGAGTAGGCAACTCGCGTTGCAGGTATGCGTGGCAAGTTGCATAACGCCACGTTCCTTCCATTTTGCATCGACCAATTTGCCTTTTCAATCTTTTCATGAATTGAGTAGTCTCGGTACTTCTATAATCTTTTTAAATAAAATTTCTGAAAATTTCAGTGATACATCACTGTAAATAATAAGTGCAACGTACGATATTCTAAAAATCTTTAAATTTATAGAATCTTCTCAATTCCCTGCAGGGAAAAGTGAGCGTCAGAAATTTCCAATAAATACAAAAATTTTTGAATAATATGACACGAATTTGTTTTCCTGTACTTTCGGTATAGCTTTTATCGCTTTCATTATTGTTCTTGCGTGCATGCGTCTGTCTGTCTGCCATTTCAACCCCTCCTCACCCAAATACATTTCGGCTGGATCGATACTGCATCCCATCAAGTTAATACAACGCGTATTGCAGTGGCTACGTATCAAGTTTCACACGCACACTGAAATTTCTCTCTTTCCGTTGTAAAACACTACAGAAAAATTAATATTCACAAAAAGATACCTTCGTTGTTATTGAAATAAAAAAAAACTCAAGGAAAAAATCATTTAAGTGCATTTAATATACTTAAATAACTGAGTAAAATTTATTATATTAAATTTTTAATTATAAAAAACATTCTAAATTATAATGTAATTATTATATGGGGATAAATTTATTTTCCATGACTCTTCTTTCAGTTTGCATGCTTTGTAAATTGCATTTCGTGACAAATTTTTATCAGCAAATTTCCCGGGAAGCGTCACACCAGGAAATAAAATTCAAGTTCAACGGCAGAGCGCCGGCGAGTTGTCGTCATTATATATTTGAACTTGAATTGGTTATCATTGCGCGGACGCGGCGCGAGCAGCGAAAAAGGAATAAAAAATTCATTTTTTTGTGCACAGCTTTAAGGTTAGGACAGGACGCCAGATTATACACGCCAGCTGGTGAATGCTTTAAGAAACGGGCATCACGCAAACTTCCCTTAACTTTACCCCCACTTCCCGGGATATCGCCTCTGCCCTCTAGCGGGCTACGTTCTCGTATTGTACGCGAATCACAAGCTGCCCGTTGTTGGCATACACGCAGGAAAGATAGAGCACACAGAAAGCGGGGTGGCTCTCCTCGGCTGACACACACACGGCAGCGAACGACAGGCCCACCGCCAGCACAGGATTACCAAAGTCGCACCTGATGTGAGTTTTTGCCGCCCAATTCTTTTGCCCATTTCGCCTGCACTTTCATTCATCGTTTCGAACGCGCGTCACTGCTTTGTCGTCGCTTTTGCGAGTCGCGTTTTCGCGGTCCGGGCCGCACTGCATGTGCGCCCACGACAACAAAACGCGGCCTGTGTTCCGAAGAGGAGGTCTGACCTCGCACACGGTTTAAATTTTTTTTATAACCACAATTATCATATTTTTATTTTTTTAACTGATCATTCAATATTAAATTTTTGTTCGGAATATTATTTTAGTAAACAACACGTGACTTGAGTGTCGATGTTTTTTTTTCTATAAATTTGATTTTTTTTATCAAACAATTAATAATCTCGATCACGTCAAACTCAATTTGAATTGTTAATTAGCGTCTTATTTATTTAGTCGACAGCACGGTGGTTAACGTTTGGAAAGAATGCCAATTTGTTACTTGTTTTCAACTCTTGGTTTGAATTTAGACTGGCCGGCGTCACCGAATGGTAAAATTAACTAGCCAGGCTTTTTTGTGTTGCTCGAAACGAATTTTGGTGGAAACGAAAGCGAAATTGTAAACACGACGCTCACAGTCAGTGTGATATCTGTACACACAAGTAGTGCAGCTGCGCCGTGGGAGTGAACAACGTGAATGGACCGTATTTGTTTTTCCTTCCCAAGCGCGCTTTTTTTCTCGCAAGTTAAATCTTTCTCGATATTTTATCTTCAAATATATTGACAAGATGATAAAATGTCTGCTGCCTAACTCTAAATATTTTACTTGGGAATCTGGGAAATGATGAGCGGAAATGTGGTTCTTTTTTTTATAAAATGCATACTTGACATTCTCAAAAATGTTTTGAAAAATTTCTTGCCGCAATCAATTCAAATTAAAGTGCTTTTATTTATCCATAATTTGAATAAATTAATGCATTGGGATAATCAATAATATTTTTCTGTATTATGTAAATTTGATGATGGCAAAAATAATTTGTTTTTATTCAAAAACAGAACGGCTCTACCAGCTTCGGTCACGGTCTGCGACTTATTGTTAGCAAAATTGAAAAACGCCACATTTTAACGTGTAATCTTGTACGTTATGAAATAGAACGAAAATTAAAGTTTTTATTCATTGGCAGCAAAAGAGATAGATTTAAATGCAATGGTTAATTGATATTTAATTTTAACGTTGAACTTTCCGATTCAGAAAAAACCAGATTATATTTTTATTTTATCTTTTTCAATTTGAATGATAAAGAAAAATAAATAAAATTAATCACTCTGAAAATTTTAAAATGAATGCACATCAATTTTTATTTATTTACTTTTTTTGAGTCGTATTAATCGGCCATGCCTCTCTGATTTCAGGGGGCCCCAGGCCTTACAATGAGGAAGCATGAGTGAAGGCGCTAGTCAGGGCGCCGAGACTTTGGCACCGCACGGGGGCTTCTTCCAAGGGTCCTTCAAGGACGAGTTCGACGGCGGCGGCGGAGTGTCGGACGTGTCGGTGGACACGGCCAGATCGGGCCTGCCGCCGTTCAGCTCGCTCGGCGTCGAGAACGGACCGTCCAGGATGGAGGGCTTCACCGAGAACGGCCGCTACCTGGACCTCAACGCGTGGGACTACTACAGCGAAGGTCTGTCCGGCCGGCTGCTGGAACGCAACCAGATCACGGGCGAGGCCATCATCACGCCCTCGGTGCTGCACATGCACGCGTCCCAGCCGCAGTACCGACCCTGGGAGAGCAAGTCCGGCGGCGGCGCCGACCCTGAGATGCTCAAGCTCCACCCGGCGGGCATCCCGCCGTTTACAGATGCCTTCGGCGGCTCCAAGCTGCCGTCCTTCCAGTCTCAGTTCACAACAGGGGCCTTCGCCGAACCGGTGACCAACAACGGCGCCACCGTCGCCGCCGCCACCATGCCTCCGAGCGAAGCGGCGCCCGGCATGCCGAACTTCCACACGCTGACGACGGCGACGACGCTGGTGGCGGCGCCGCCACGCGGCTACCCGCTTGTGCCGGCGCCCGTCCAGGCGCGGGAGATCCCGCAGATCCAGCAGCAGATCCTGGACGAACGCCACATCCAGCTATTCCACAGCCAGCCGCCAGGTTTTCCGCCAAATCAGTTCCCGCCGGGGCCGCCGCACCACCACGTGGCGCCACCTCACCCTCACCACATTCCCGCCGCGTACCACCTGAAGCCGGCCGACGAGATGAAGCACTTCCCGCCCATGGACAAGGTGATGGCCCCCGTGGGCCCTGAGCACTTGGCCATGGGGCAGCTCAAGTTCCCGGGCATGCAGAGTAGCGGCTCCTCGGAGGGGATGCCACAGGCGAGGATGGACTCGAGGAAGAAAGAGCGACGGAAAGCGCGGGTGTCCTCGCTGGACAGCTCGGCGGACAGTGACATTGCCAACGCCGAGGGCTCGGGACAGGTGGCCGCCGTCTCGAGCACTGGCTCCAGCGTGGACATGGACGACGGCTTCCGGCGGCCGCAGCAGGCCTCCTCCTCGGACAACGAGATGGGTGGCCCTGACAAGCCGGTCAAGAAAAAACGCAAGCGTTGTGGTGAATGCATGGGATGCCAACGTAAAGACAATTGCGGCGAGTGCGCGCCCTGCAGAAACGAGAAGAGTCACCAGATCTGCAAGCAGCGGCGATGCGAAAAGCTCACCGAGAAGAAGGTAGGGAGACTCGTCCTTTTTCTCTAGGTGCATCTGAACTCATCAGATTTGACCAATCAGAGCCAAATTCTGATACATTTTCTTCCAAGCAATCTTATATTTAATTATTTATATTTATTTAACTATAAATTTAATTGATACCGAAGAGCTAAAAATCAGTGACAGCTTTAGTGAATTTAGTTTATTTTAAGAAAATTTTTGTGACTGAACACTGACCTACAACCAACAATTTTTTATTTTGTGAAAAAGTCTAATTGATATTTATACTAAAATCTTTTTCATAGCTTGGGGCTAAAGTTTTTCCTATCACCGCCTCATTTTATGATAGAGCTCTTTAGTGGCGCGAAGCATACAAAGATATCACTCCTCGAACAGAGATCTCTCTTCTCTCTCTTTTTTATTTTTCGGCGACTCATTTTATTTTAATACGGGGCCATATATTTACAAAAAAATGTGGCGACGCTTATCGTTCCATCCCCATTCTCTCACGCGCCTCGCCGGCCGCATCATGAAACTTGGCGTACATCCACGCGCATTACTTTTGCCCGAAACATTGCTAACTATTCTTCTTTTTGCGAAAGGGTGCCAAAACTGATCTCTGAATATAACTTAGGGCCGCGCCGGCGGCGGCGGCGAAATGCAGTGAGCTTTGCTTTGCAGCGCGATCCGCGACCAACTCTCGCTTTTCTCTTTTGCTGCCAGCGGGCGAAAAATCCGATAATGGTGGCGCACAAAATCGTTCGGCATTCAACTCGAAATTAGCCCGGCCGAGCGCGGCCCATTGAAAAGAAAGGCGCTCAATTATTTTAAGACTCCATCCGTCGGTCGCCAGCGATCCGGCCTCTTTGAATCGCGACGATGAAAGAATTTTGCGAAAAAATTTTGGTCCGCCGTCAAATGCTATATTTGGCACCAAGCTTTTTTCCGTTCGCGCGGTGCAAGTCTGACTCAATAATGCTAATAACCCTTGGCACCATCCGTGGACCAATCATCGTTAATTGAGACATTCAATTCGAAGATCAGTGAAGGAAAAAAAATTAAAATTGATGAAATCATTTACTACGTGCAATAAATTTAATTTTATTCTGACTTTATGGAAAGTGGCGGGAATATAAAATATAATGTTCACGCGAAAATACGTCACAAGTATTTATTTTACTTTATAAAATTAATTTTTTTCCTGTTAAGTTATGTTTAAAATATATTTGAGAACTGACTGAGAAAATTAAATCTATATAATTCAGCAAAAATAAAAAGTAAATTAAATAAAAAGGGTATATTTTAATGTTTTATTTTTTCTTTTTTCTATATGCAGAGTATTCCGGCCGAAATTTTAACGGAGTCTAAATAAATTATTTTTGAAATATTTTTGAGTTGTTTCAAAACATTTCATGTAATGAAAAAGAATCAATTGTTGGGTGGAAAACATTCAATGTTCATTTGTTTGATAATAAAATAAAGCACCATTAATACAATGAATCGTGCTAAAACTTGCGAGATTAAAAAGACTCCATCCACCACAACAAAATAAGAAAATAAATTATTCGTCAAATTTTAAAAATAATTTTCCTTATGTAAACAGAAATTTAAATATCTTTTAATCTGCTGTTAAAAGAGAAACGTTGTTAACAAAATTTTAGAGCAAAATTTTTGGTTAAATATCTGTTTTTAAATGTTTATTTATGGAAATGTTGATTCAGTTTTCCAATTGAAAAGTTTGTATGAAATTACATCCAAATCCGGCGTTCCCATCACACCGCGAATGTTTTGGGCGCTTGGCGCACGTGGTGCTGTTTTTATATGTATAAATAATAATAATGGGGTGGCGCGAGTACCCGTAAAAGCAACCCAGCCCAGTCATTCATACAGCGCGCGGGTGGCGTGCTTGCTCTGTATCAAAGAGGGTTGCTACTCCAGCCAGCACACCGAGGGTGGCGGCGGGTTGTTGGGCGGGTGCTTAGATTTTGCCGTTGGGCGCCACCAGCCAGCCAAGCACCACCCAACTGCACGCGGATAACGTGGTGCTCACATGATAGAGCGCAACGTCACATCTTTTCACTCACTCCGCAGCCTTTGTAAAGCCCTTTGCGCGCCGTTCCGTAATATTATGATGTATTTTTGTTGCTTTTTATAGAATGAAATTTCGCCGCCGCAAAAACACATTCACAAATACAAACATGGCCCCACTCTCAGTACACCACGTTTTACTCCAGCGGTGCTCTTTTGGCAGCAGCCCAAAAGCGTGCATGGTGAGGCATCACGAAACATGACCCTCGCCCGCCGTTTTTTGCGCCACCAACGTTGCCGCCGCCGCCGACCAGCAAAATTGACTTTTTGCCCGTTTCCCGCCCCACACGTGATTGCCATGCTTCACACTGTTTATTATTGTGCTTTGGTAAATTGAAGCTAAAGATGGAAAATTTTTATTTTATTTTAACAATAAGAAAAATTACTCTCTTAAATCATAAAAAGACATATAATTTAAAATCCTTCAAATATTCGATGGAAACAGGAACAATGCATTATTATTTTTCTCAATTAAATTAATCTTGTTTAAAAAAAAATCATTTTATAAAATAATACATAGGGGTATGAAATTTTTTGAACGGTGAATAATTAAATTCAGATAGCTAACTATAAATTTAGAAAATCAATAGATGTTTTTGTGGGTAATATTGAGGCAAGATTTCAATTACATATCCGGACTGTTTAACGGTTCAAAACAAGTTAGGTTTAAATTAATCCCGTTCGAGCCAATCAAGTCAGTGATATTAACGCAGAGAACACGCAGTAAACCGAATTTAATTCACGCAATAATCGTCTCCATGAAACAAGCAATTAACTTTGTTTATTCGTTTCCCGCTCTCTCTCGAAGGAATAAATTCGCAACTCGTGCTGCTCTGGGCGCGAGTTTTACTGCCAGGAATGCGCCCAAAGCGAGCGGGCGGGCGAAAGGGAGGTTCGGCCGCCGCCCCGTCGAGAAAATGCAGCAGTCGAGCGAGAGCGAAATTGCAGCAGCATAATAGCAGAGACCGAAATCATGATGAGCAGAGAGAAGTAGGCAACACCGTCCCAACGCAGCCGATCGAAACTCCATGAGGCAGCAGGAGGGGAGGGGTGCAGCACGTCGGTCGGGGGATGGGGGTGGTACATAAGAGGCAGCGAGAGTATGTATGCTGTGTGTACATGGTACATAATGTGAAACGCAGCGGCCGCGAGAGTTAGCGAGCGGGTGCATGGGACACGGTTTGGCGAGCGCGAGGGGGTGCGGGGAGGGGGAAGGGGTGCGGGAGGACGCTTGCGCCCCGAAGTCGCCGTCGTCGTCGTCGTCAGCGAGTGTGCAAAGCATGCAGCGTTGCATATACTCGCGCTGGCTCGCCAACCACCACCCCCTGCCCGCCACCGCCGCGTCTTCTGTGTGAAACCACCCCCCGCCACCCCTCCGACGCTGCCACTAGAACTGCACTTCATGCGTGTGCGTGCTCAAAATGAAAAAAGGCAAAAGAACAGCTCCCGTCCGTATACGTTCCTTGTGAACATTTTTCGCCCTTCACGAGCAAGGGGTTGGAAATTTCCGTGCTGGGGCTAATTTGGAAAACAAAAATTATGAAAAGAGGTGGTGCAAATTTTTTAAAAACATCGTATTTCCTGAATTTTGTAAAGAGCTCGGCCGGTGGTGCCCACTGGGGTTGATTCGCGGTCGCGATAAAACGGGGCTTGTCGTCGAGGGTTGAACAAAATGGTTCATAATTGAGTAATTGCCCCTTTCACCAGGGTCGCAGCATCCCCCTGCATGCAGGATGTGTGAGCAGCGCGTTCCGAGCGTTAGCAATAATAAATTAATTAGCATGGGATTCGCGTGCTGGATAATTTGGTCGGCAGTGATTTATAAACAGCGGCTGCGTGTTTGTCGCCGCGACGACGACAGACTTGCACGGAATGGCTCCGCGGAAAATGAATTAGCGCTGCGGGAAAATTGATTGGGGAACTTTCTCGAAAGGAAATTTACAAAGAAAAGAGCTCTGAAGTAATAAAAGAACAAAAGAAATGGGTTGAATCAGAAATATAATAATATAATATTATCTTTAATTCCCCAGTAAAAAATTATTAAATCATACACTTTCAATTTTTCTCTGATAAAAACCAAAACCATTGTATGCTCTGAAATAATTCTAAATAATCTAAATATATCGAATGAAATAATATTTTTTTCTAAAATTTACCTAATTTTTTTTTAACAAATGGATAAGAAAATAATTAAAAGTTTTATTAAAATTCTTGCTGGTTGTGGTGCCGCTTTATTCATCAATTCCTTTTTTTTTTAATAAATTGTTTTTGAACAATTGAATGCAAACAATATATTGCAACAATGTGGACAAATAAATAATTTTAATAAATAATAGGTCACTCCCATCGAATCTCATCAAATTCTTGATGTGATTTTGCCCTTCTCTTCTGCCATCATTAACCCAAAGCAATGGAGTGCGAAACGGAAAGTGAGACAAAGCACGCACTTCTCTCTCAATTGGGTCATCATTTGTCACTGATGCTCGGGGTTGGTCCGGCCAGAGCAAATGTCACTGCTTATTTGATGCGAGTGCTGCAAAAAGAGACTTGATGAGCATATTACTGAGATTTTTATGTGCCCTGGGTCGAGACGTGGTTTATATAAATTAAGCGCCAGTCCCATCGGGCGGTTCAAAGCACGGTTGTTGTTGGTGTTAAAATTTTATTATTATTATAAGAGCGGATCTTCTGCCACTGTATTACATCAAGGCGCGACCTACCTCAAAACACATCATTCTCTTTTGCCTCAGCGGCAGGCGAGGGGTTTGGGTAAAAGCAGGCAAAAGGGGCTTTCGCCCCTTTTGGTGTAGAAGAAAGGAGGAAGACTCCCCCACACAATCCTATATAGCAATATAAACGCCCGCCGCGCACCCTAACCTCCTTACTATAGCTACTATTACGCCCGCTCTCTTTCACAACGCGCCTTTACCTGT